TAACCCAGTCACAGGCTGCGGGTTGCAGAGCCGGAAAAGAGGAGGCAAGTAAAAATCGGTGCATGCGCAAATTGATGACTTGTGAATAAAATGGAGGGCGAAAAGATGCAAAAAAGTAGACTACATTTCCCTATACCTGCTCCCCCCCCACTTTTTTTTGTGATGCCGCATGCGCCTTGATAATGGCTACTGGACGCCGGGGTGGGGTAACCCCCGTGCTTTTAAGGTTGCCTAATCTGACAATCAAAGCACACTCAGCTGCAGAAAACAAGAGTATCTAGAACAAGCTGATTGCTTTCCTCAGCCCAGTTGAAAGGATTGCTTTATACTTATTTAAAATTATCCAACTGCAGTACCCCCCTAAGCTCGAATCCATGTTCAGATAACCATCTCTAAATAGTCCTGCTCTTTGGGCTGATGTAAAGATAAAAATTGAACAAAGAGAGAAAACATCAGGAAACTTAGCTTTAAAGCCAACTGCAGTAGTAACTTAAATATATTTATTTAGCAGTAGGTGTAATTGCCAGATGTCTGCATACAAACAGAACTGCCTGAAAATTGTTGAGGATGTAAAACTGACAGAAGGCGAAAGAAAAGAGACGTCTTGGTGAAACAGGCAGTGCAGTGAACAGTCATTCTTCAATTTTCAGATCATATTTGTCCAGTGAATGTTGAAGGGATATCGAGCTGTTTTTACAACCATGGTATTCACATATTACATCTTAAAAATTAACTTGCTGGGTTTGTAAGCAAACAGGTGTGTTCTGGCAAACTTTTACTTTTTGACATAGATTTAAAAAGGTAAGATTTTGAATAGCTATAATAGACTGTACAATGAGAATTTGAATAGATTAGTTTTTAAACTGTCTCGATTATACATATCTCAAGGAAGCAAACTGACATTATACTCCACAACAAGTTGGAGCTGAGGAAAAGTGACTGGCTCAGTCACCCAATTGGCTTTCATGCATAAGGCAAGACTAGAACTCACAATCTCTTGGTTTCCAGACCAGTACATTAACCACTACACTGTAGTGTACATAGTGGCAAAGTGTTTGTTTTACATTCTCACCACAGGTAAGAAATGGTATCTTATCTGGTGCAGGTGATCCTCCCTGAAATAGCTACCCTTCAGTCAATAAGAGAAAACAGTCTATGTAAAGGAAACCTGCATCAGCTGCTTCTCTTAAATAGAGATTGTAAAAGCAACTCCACAGGAAATAAAAATATTATTTTTTAAAAAATTGAGGTGCCCTCCACTAGTGACCTTGGATCAGTTACTTTCCCTCAGCCCAGCTTATATCACAGGGTTATTGTTATGGGGGAAGGTATGTTGGATATGTTCATTGTCTTGAATTATCTGTGAAAATAATAAAGGCAGGGTATAAATAAATGCTGAATCTCATGTCTTGATTTTTTTTTGTCTGCTGCAGACAATCTGCACACCAGATTGGTGTGATATCCTTGCTGTGATTATGCTGTGGGTACCTAGTAGTTCAAAAGCATGCACATGTGAGTAGATATATAGATACTACTTTGGTAGAAAGTGTTCTGTGCACCTTTGGCATCTAGTCTTGTGTGCCACATGACCATTAAAGCATCTTCTGACAACACTGGCTCCATCCCCTAAGAAACGGAGATGAGCACCGCCCCCCTAGAGTATACATGACTGGACAGGGGAAACCTTTACCTTAAGTTCACAGAAGCAATTGTTAACCATTTGATTGATAACCGTAGTTCATTTGGTGGTTTTAAAAAAATGAGATGCCAAAATAAGCAGAAATTAATGTGCAAAACCTGCAGACAAAAGGAACAAGGAACTTTATTCTTTCTAAAGTGATGGATAGGGGAAAACACAATTTTTTTTGTTAACAGATAACTAGAAAAAAGGGGGGAGGGGATAGAACTAGCCCCTTTTAAAAACACAAGCTTCCTTTTGTTTCATACCGAGTCTCACAAGAGAAGGAATGGATTTGTCATCATTTGAAGAAAGTTAAGTTTCTCAGTAGACACAATTTTACTATGTTATTTATGCCACAATTGTACATATGGTAGCAGAAAGGGAGGAGTTTTTATAAACGATAAAGAACATTTTTGTTCAGTGGTTTCTGTTAGTTGTAAGATTTGCTTCTGCCTGTATTTCCTAGAAATACCAATAGTAGCTAAGTACCTACACAGAGAAATATTGTGTAAAAACTTCTGCAAAATCATGAACCTTTTTGAAAGCCTTAAATGGTACTTAGAGGTTTATAGGAACTTATTTTGTGTGGAGCAATGAAATTCAATATTCGTGTGGCTTCAAGACAAACATCCATAATTATTATTGAGTAAGGAGACTTTTTTCAACTTGGGAATTTTTTTCTTGCCAATCTGCAAACTTAGACATACGTTTAGTTTCAAAGAAGAAAGAAGAAAAGCAGGCCTGCAAACTGGTATCTTCATTCAACTCCATGTTTCATCAGAAGTAGATGTATGTTTTGCATTAATGGTCAACATATTTTATAAGCTACACTCAGTCAATTTTAGTAAGATTTGTGTCTGTTCAGTACTTTATTTCAGACTATAGATGCATAGGTGCACACATTGATACATGTCTAAGATGAGAGATGCAGAATGGGCTACAAACGACAGCTATTTGTCCCTCGGCTCAAGGGGCAGAATTTTCACGCTTTTTTTAAGCTTTTGTTATTTTTAATTATTTGCTTAAAAGTTTTGGGATAATTTGGATGTAAATGATTGCAATAAATATTTTCTTTTTGGTAATGTTTTTATTTCATTTTTATATATGCATTGTTTTAGTTGTAAGTTATCCTGATTTGTGTCTAAATAAAATTAGAAAATATGAATAAAATTAAAGCACACTTTCAGTGTATATTTTAGTAAGTCAGTGACTTTAATAGTACCTATGACCATGTATATTGGGATTCATTCTGAACTACATCAAGCAAGGCATCAAACTAGTGTGTGTGTGTGTTTGTGTATGTACAGGTAGTCCTTGACTTACAACAGTTTATTTAGTGACTGTTCAAAGTACTGAGAAGTGACATGACTGTTTTTCACAGTTACCTTTGTAGCATCCACTTGATCGTATCATCAAAATTCAGGTGCTTGGCAACTGGTTGATATTTGACCATTGCTGTGTACCAAGATCATATGATCACCTTTTGCAACCTTCTGACAAGCAAAGTCAATGGGGAAGCCAGATTCACTTAACCAGGTTACTAACTTATCAACTACACTGATTCACTTAACTTAAAGATTGTAAAACGGGGCAAAACTCACTTAACAAATGTATCATTCAACAACAGAAATTTTGGGCTCAATTGTAGTGATAAGTTGAGGACTACCTGTATATAAAATGTCATGGTAGTGTGTACTGGAACAATGCCATTCCTTGGGAAACATAGGTAAAGATAAAGGTTCTCCTCGCACATACGTGCTAGTCGTTTCCGGCTCTAGGGGACGGTGCTCATCTGTTACAAAGCCGAAGAGCCAGCGTTGTCCAAAGACATCTTCATGCTCATGACAATGCTGAAGGCGCACGGAACACTATGACCTTCCCAAAGTGGTCCCTATTTTTCTACTTGCATTTTTACAGGCTTTCGAACTGCTAGGTTGGCAGAAGCTGGGAGAAGTCATGGGAGCTCACTCTGTTACATGGTGCTAGGGATTTGAACTGCCGAACTTTCTGATCAACAAGCGCAGTATCTTAGCCATTGAGCAATAAATGTAATATGTCCATTAAGTTTAATGAAAAATCACCTTCACATTTGCTTTTCCATGTTATAAACCAATGATAAAATTAAGAAATGTAATTTTGGCTTCTGAACAAAACCAGTTCCTATGACAATACAAATCAATCTCTCTCAGATATATATACATATATACATACACAAACACACACACACATATATATACACACATTAAACTATAAAAATTATATAAAATATAAAAATACAGATTCTACAAAGTCTGATACACACACACATACATATATACACATATATACACACATTAAACAATATAAAAATTATATAAAATATAAAAATACAGATTCTACGAAGTCTGATGTTTAAACCCAGTCTTAAGCTGCTGTTCAAAGCCTTTATTCCTCATATTCCTCTAAGGAACTCACGGTGGCAGACGTGGATTCAACAATCGCCTTCATCCTCGTAAAAGTCCGAGTTGCACTTAAAGCCACACTGGCCCCAAGTCATCCAGTAAGCCCAGACTGATCAGGGACCGAACCCGGATTTTCCCCGGCCGGGGCTCCCCGCAGGGAATTTATTTACCAACGAGTTTTATTTCCCAGTAAAGCTGTAGAGATTTGCACTGTATTTCAGAAATGCTTTAGAAGGGCGAATCCGACCGTCTGGGGCAACTACAGCCACTTACCGCTCGCACAGAAACACGTCCGGTGTTGCCCCCTCCCTCCCCTTGCAAGCCAGGCTTCCGAAGCAGCACGCCCCGTGCCCTTCATCGGGTGCCTTTCCTGGAAAACGGGCACCAGCTTTACTTTCAGACTCAGCGGGGGGCTTTTTCGCGAGTTAACGCGGGGAAACCAGGCAACTTTCAAGGTCACCGGCAAGTCTGGAAGGGAGTTGGGGGAGAATCGTGTACTCTGCGAAAGCCGTCATTCCGCTGTTGCCGAACGCTGCCTCGCTTTCTCCGCCTCTCCCTACTAACGTAGGCAAAGAAACCACGCAAGCTCCTCCTTTTCCTGCTGGGCTCCGCCTGTAGCTACCGCTCTCCTCAGCGGCGAACAACCGGCGCCGACTGTTCCTACCGCCGGAGTGGGCTGTGCGGCGCTTCCTTCTGCTGGGGAGCTGCGGCGCCGAGAGAGCCCCGCCCTCTTGCTGAGAGGAGGGAGGGAGGGAGGGAAGAGGAGGAGGAGGAACAACGCGAAGGGATCTCGCCGCCGTGTGGGCTGCTGCGTGTCTCTGGATTGGCTTCGGTGCAAGCAATAGAAGAGACGGCGGCCTCCTCGCTGCAACGGAAGCATGTTTTGCGCCCCTTTGCTAGCCCGGCCTGGCGGGAGCTGCCTGAGCGCCACCGCTTCTCCTTTGCAGCGGCTGGACGGGCGTCGGTGGTTGACTTCGGTGGCCATCAGGGCTCCGCCTGCCGCCCCAAGGAAGCGCCAGCCGCTGGGTGAAGAATCCCGCAGGAGAAGGTGCACTGGGGGTACCCCGGAGGTCGGGACGAAGTGGATCAAGCCCACCGGCCAAGACACCGGGATCCAGATCTATAACAGCTTGAGCAGAAGCAAAGAGCCCCTTATCCTGGGAAAGGCCAACGTGGTGACTTGGTAGAATAATTAGAAAATTATCAAATCTATCCTGAGCTAGTGCTAAATTTTCAGGCTCCCCCCGCCTTCCTCCGCCAGTTTATAGAAGCAACGAAATAAACCTATTTTGTTGCTGATGGAGATGTAGCAAATGTTGGGGGTGGGCGGTGGGGGGAGCCTCTCCTATTGAAGGTTTCCTTGACCAAGGGCTTGTAAAACTACAGGCCTTCTTAATGGGAAGGAAAAGCAGTAGTGTAGTACCTAATTGATTAGTACCTAATCAATTAAAAAAAAAACTTATTTGTATCCCGCTTTTCTAAAAAAAATAAAAATAAGTTAGTATAATAGAATGGGACTTGTCTTGGGGATTGCAGCCTAAGCCCTAAAATGGCAGAGTTTTTGGTTTGTGGAATATGGAAAATCACCTGTCCCAAAGGCTCAATGACCTCCTGAACTTGAGCTTGCAGTGAAATGGGCATACAGTATCTACCTTCCAAATGAAAAAGAACCCCGTCAGGTAATGCTAAAGCAGATAGAAGACAGGTGGATCAAGATCTGGAATATTAGCAGAGGCCAAGGAGTAGCTACAGATGAAGAAATTCATTTGCCAGCTTCTGTTAAAATAGGTATACTATCTGACCTGGGAAATTAGGGACAGCTACTAGACAGCAGAAAAGAACTTGAATGTCCATAATCTACTGCCATCTAGTGATCTTCTGGAGCTTTGCTAAGATGTTACATGTTTAAAGGAGAAGTAGAAAATGTGAAGATAAGCATTTAAATAACATGTGCTGACAGATTTGTTTGCCTAAAAGTAAAAGTTCAATTCCTGATCACTTTTCAGACATATTAATATAATTTACCTGGCCAAAACAGAGAAATAGGTTTGTCATTGCCTTTATCCAGGGACCACTTACCCATCTTCTATTTTGTCATCTAAGATTGACTGGGTGGTACTAGCTAATTGGTGTTGTAGTAATGTGCAGTACACATAATTAGTCTTTTTATCTACCATGATTGCAAATTAGTTGGAAGACTGAATGTTAAGTAAGGCTGCTTTAGGCAAAGAAATGGGTAAAAATAAAATCCAAACTCTTTTGGGACTTTCTGGAAGGGCCTTATTGTTTGCATATCAAAGATGATGATTTGTGAGTCCTCCTGGGCTTGAAGCGAGCTCCCAATCTAGGTGTGATTTAGCCATTGCAGGTTGCTATTCTGCCTTTATACCCTGTTATTTGGAAAATTGCCATTGTTCAGTTAGACCCGAATTAAGATGGTAAATTTTGAGCAGGTTTAGTGTGGCTAATAAGATATGACTCTCAAAATATATTTCTTAGTGAAGTTTCCCTAGCAAGGTCATCATAACCAGATAATGTCATCACCCATTGTCAGCCATTGTGGCTGATGTTGAACTTTTAAAAACTGTTCAGTGATATCTCTGATTTTTGTCACTTTAATTTTATTTGCAGGTACAGCTGTGGGCCTACTGTATATGATCATGCACACCTTGGACATGCTTGGTGAGTTTTAATCATTTTTATTTATATTTGTACCTTCTCTAGATATAGATTATAATTTAGCAGCAGCATCCATAGCAAATTGTGTTCCATAGTAAAATGCTGACATTTGTGTGGTGCATGCAAATGCCATTAAAGCCTTCTTTTGTGACATCTGTTCAAATTGCAGTTTTTGTATGACAATGTTGTCATTTATTATTATATTTTATCTCGTCCTTGATCTCCCTATAAATAACCACTTTATTAGATAAATTAGCATTAATTAGCTCTTTCAACAAAAAGTAAGAGATGAGTTAACTCTGATATTGTATTTATTCATAATGAAAGTCTCATTAGGTTCACTAACCTCAAGAAACTACATAGAGAATTGCCAAAGACATCTAAATGGATGAAGATGAGATGTAGACTAATCTATCTGACCAGGGAGGTCTGCAGAGTGGTGTCCATGAAAAAGGTGCCTGCCCCTTTTTATGTTTTTTGTGATGGCATCTTGTCTTTTTCTAACACCCACTCACACACACACCCCGTCCCCGTGGACATCTCTGCATCTGACTTAGAGAAAAAAAAATCAATATATATTATGTTGTGGGTTACTCTGATTGAAAGGGGACTGGGGACTAAAACATATGAAGAATGGTTACAGGAACTTGGCATGGCTAGTCTAGTAAAGAGAAGGACCAGGGGAGACTTGATAGCAGTCTTCCAATATTTGAAGGACTGCCACAGAGAGGAAGGGGATAAGCTATTTTCTAAAGCACCTGTAGGCCAGACAAGGAATAATAGATGGAAACTGAACAAAGAGAGATTTAACCTGGAAATAAGGAGAAACTTTCTGACAGTGAGAACAATCAACCAATGGAACAGCTTGCCCTCAGAAATTGTGGGACTGCTATCACTTGAGACTTTCAAGAAGAGATTGGACTCCCATCTGTCAGAAATGGTGTAGGGTCTTCTGCTTGGGTGTGGGGTTGGACTAGATGACTTACAAGGTATCTTCCAACTCTGATTATCTGTTAACTGAAAGATTAGGTGAAACATTTTATTATTTGTTTCATTTTTCAGCTATGAGTGAAGTGGTTAAAGCAAAGATATAGTCAAATACATAATAGTTTTTTGAACATCTTCCTTAAGTAGAATCTGGTAGTCTTATCTATATGGTCCAGCTGGGAAAGGATGCTACAGGTGCCCTTCCTAAGAGGAGTTGGAGGGTAGGTTCCCAGAGAATTGCAGCTCTTCATTTTGCAACAACTTATCCCACTGAGGTCAGGTTAGCTTCTACACCTTTTTTCTTTTCAGAAGTAGGGTAAATCTGTTTTGAACATTTTTGGCACTGGTATCTAACTGCAAAGTGCAACTTTGAATGCAACCTGAAATTCACCTACTTGCAGTATGATACATTTTTGACCTATTTATTATCATGAGACATTTCCAAATCACCAAGTAAACTCACTGAAATATCTAAGATGACTGGGTAGGGACCCCGATTTAGAGGAGAAAGTGTGATTTGGAGCATAAGAGGTTTGCCACGTTAAACCTATTGGCAATCAGATTAAGCCAGGATTCCTTGAAAATGCCACAACTGACTGACTTTACACTTAATAATGACTGTATATATACACATATAAAATTATGTTATGAGCATTGAATACACACATTTAGTGTGTATGGTGTATATTAATGGTGATAGAAAAGAAACTTTATACTAATCCTAGTCACTGTGTGTGAGCCATATTAATCTAATAAATAAATCTTCACATTACCTTTGCTCACCTGTAAAGCAAAGGAAAGCTGAAATATGATCATAAACACAGTTGCATTTTCACTTGGCAATAACCTTACTTAATGACTAACTTGCTGGTTCAAATTGTGAACACTAAATGAGGACTATCTGTATTTTCTAAGTAGAAGTTATTACCTTGTTTCAACAGTAGTAGCTTCAAGGAAAACTATAAAATTACTAAACTACTTATTTATCAGCAACTTAGGCCTGTTTATTTAGGGATTAATCAAAACAAGAGACTTGTCTCACATTGTATGTTAAAGAAAATTTACCATCCAGGTTATTGCATGTTAGTGATTGGAACTTATTTCAGAATTTATGCAGTAGGTGTAGGATTGCTTTGTAAAGAAATAAAATTAGAAAAAGTAAGCCATGGTTGCAGCATTATAATTGACAATAGCTATAATAAAAGATAGTTGAAATTTGTATAGAAATGTCACCTGTCTCTTGAATTTTGTAGCCCGTTTGCTTACAGTTCTTTTCTGTGCATTAACAGTTCAAACATCAGATAAAGTTATGGAGGGGTAAAAAAACTGCTGTTGGATCTTATACATATCTGGAGGATTTGCTGTTGATTGACCTGATTCCCATTTGTTATCTGTAGCAATGGTAAAATGTCCCCTTCCTTCCTTACCCACCAAGTGAAATCTTCATACTGCTGAAATTAAGAAAACATGGGATAATATTTTTTGTGTCAAGTGACTATAAATTTTGTTCAGTTCCTGGCTTTAGAATTATTTAATTTCAATTGTAGGTGATTTTAAGGTTCTATTATAGACAGGTGTGTGTTTGTTGCACATTTGATGTCTAATTAAAAAGCATCATAGATCTCAGAATCCTGAAGCATTCCTATTGCAAAAAACTACATTTTATGTCACAGTAAATCTTCTAATTGTACCATAAGATTCTGTTGTTCTAATATATTTTGGATATATTCAGAGAGCTGAAAATGATGATCAGAGTTTATAAAACCTGTCTCACCCTAACACATTCATGATTTTTCTTTCTGTATTTCAGTTCCTATGTAAGATTTGACATAATTCGAAGAGTAATGACAAAAATATTTGGAAAGGAAGTAGTGATGGTGATGGGGATTACAGATGTAGATGATAAAATAATTAAAAGAGCAAATGAGGTAAGCATATAAATCAACCTACTTTATACATGTTTTTAGAATGTGTGTGTACATTGTATTCCGTATTACCTTATGTATGTTTTTTTTTAAACAAGTTTTATTGATTTTTCAAGACAAACAAAACATATATAACCTCCTTTCCAAGAACTACCCATAAACTTCAACAAGACAAACAAAGCATTATTCTTTAAAACATGGTTCCACATTATCACACTTGAAGCAAAACATTGGAGAAAAAAAAAAACCTCCTTAGTTATCATTTATACATATCTTTTCCCAATTTCTCTCCCTTTAATTTCATTTCTCCAAGATTTTATTAATTTAGAATCAAACATAATCCACACACTAAACATAAAACATAAAACTTCTTTGAAAAGTGACTTGGCCCCAGGTTACATCTTTTTTGACAGACCTAAATCAAATTCATGCCCATCTTATATACCCTTCATATCTTATTAACCATTTTGTATTTTCTATATAACTTCTCCCATCTTTTCACTCTCTTAATTATATTTTATTTATTTCATCTTATTTCAAAGTCATTATACTTATGTCTTTTGTCCGTTCTTTAGTAAACATCTATGTATCTCTTCCCTTTAACCAAAAAATTTCCCCTGTAATCGCTTTTGAAGTATGACGCCTTCTCCTAAAATAAAACTTAAAATAATACATAATTTCCACTCTAATTCTGCTTAGTACCTTCTACATATTAAATCTTAAAATGAAAGAATAACAAACTTATAGTATAATTAAATATATAATTTCTATTCTAATTCTAGTTCTAATAAGTACATTGTTTTAGAATAGAAAAAATAAAATACTAAAGTTATAATAATATTAAAACACTAACAAATTAAACTTTAACTAAGCATTAATTATTTAACAGATCTCCTAATATTTAATCAAATATCAACATCCATCATTATTAAACATTAATATTTCATTAAATATTCCAATAAACTGTTCCAAATACAAATACTACAATACTATCTTATGCACTCTTGCAGAATCTTCTTTAATTATAAGCTATCTATCATCCTTCATCTCTAAAGAAAAAACTTTTTTAAAAAAAATCTTGTCCTAACCCGTGGCTTTTTTTTTCTTTTTCCCTCCCTTTCTTCTCCAATCTGGTCTTTTTGCCCCCTCCTCTCCTCTCCCCCTTTTTAAGTTTCCCTCTCTGTTGTAATTGTATTTTCAGTTGCTTTCTAACATTGTACCTTCTTTTCATCCTATTTTTCTTTTTCTTGGTTGTTTTATTAAATCTTAAATTCTCCTTTTCCCTTCCTTCCTTCCCATTTTCTTTCTTAATCAAACTTTTTAGTCCATTAAAGATGGCTTCTTCCTTTTCTTCTTCTTCTTCTCCTTCTCCTTCCTCCAGTGTTTGCTGGTACGTAGAAACCGCCATTTCTAAAAAGTGGAAGGCAGCTCCCAAAGAATCCTTGCCACTTTGTTGTCTTTCTTTTAATTTTTCATATTCCATTTTCAGTTCATCAACCGGTGGTACCATTATAAGTTCTTTTTTTAAAAACAACAACAACAACAACCCAGATGCTTTCAATCTTGAAGTAATTTCCAAATGTCAGAGTTATCAAACAATCCAAACAAGCAAAACTTTTTTCCTCTTCTTCTCTTTACAGTTTTTTCTCCAGAGGCAAAATCCCAGATATATTTTAAAAGCCGTATTTCCATTAATTAATGGTCTTGAAATCTTCAAGGCGTCTCCTCCAGCAAAGTTTAGAAAAAAAAAGTTTTTGTTTTTTTTTAGTCCTCCCCTTCCCACTTATAACAAAGAGCTTATTTTTACCTTTAGAGAGCAGGTTTTTCTGTGCTCCTTTGCTTTCTCCGTAGGGAGGGGTAGTGAGCTTTCCTTCAGCACTTTCGCCGATGTTACAAATTCTTTTGGAAACAAATGTATCAATCCAAAGTCAGGTTTCCAGGGTGTTTTAAAAGTAACATCATGTCCTGGTTTAGCCAAGAAAACTTCTCCTTCTAAGTCTTCCTCCTGCACAAACTTGTCCGGTTGAAGAATCCTTCATGGCTGCCGAGACAGCCGCTCATCCGTCTCGGGAAAAAGGAGTCTAGCCGGCTGGGGAGGGGGGGTGCGATGTCCCCAGACCCCTGCTCGGATCTCCTCTGTCTTCCGCTGCCCCTTCAGGGTAGCGACAACCCCCAAATCCAGTTGGATCGGGGGTACCTTGACGGCGAGCACAGCAGGGACCCGCAGAGAAGCGGATTCCTGCCGTCGACGAAGCCTTACAACCCGAATATATTGGTAGGCCGTTGCAATCAAAACCTACTCAAAAGAAACACTATAAAACAAACCCCAAATAGAAACAGAAAATACAAGAACACTAAAGTACAAAAGTAGTAAGAGAATCAAATGTGGCAATAACAAGTCAAATCAGGATCAAGCGCTCTGAAAAAGATCAGACTTTAGACCCTGGTAGAAAACCAACAGAAAAGGAGTCAGCTTGAGTTCTAAGAGGAGGCTTTTCCACACAATATTCCTTACTGTGGTAGAAAAGCAGCCTCAGCCATCTTGATTTATTTATTGCATTTATCTTTGTTGTTTTCCAGTGAATCACTCTGCTTGGTTCAGAGGCACCACGATGGAGAAGGTTCTCTTAATTGCACTTAAGAGGCAGGGAACAGGATGCCATGGGGCACAGTTTTATGCCTAACGTGAGACTAGAACTTCCAGTCTCCCCAGGTTCTAGCCTGATTGTCTCAAGCACTACCCAAAACTAGTTCTCTGCCTTTCCAGTGTAAGGTACACATAACTTTCATGCCACAGCACCATAACATTCAAAGCAGGTTACCTGGTTCCACTTAGGAAGCAATTCGGTTAGTGTTGCTTGATAAACAGTTAATGTATTTTTTCTCTCCTACACAATGACATTTATCATAATAGGTTGGCATTAAATGGCCTGGGTATTATATAAGAATTTCTGAAACAATGAATTCCAAAGACGAAGTTGAAAAGTGGTGCTTTTTTGCAGTGCCATTCCTTTAGGAATACTTTAGAAAGAAAGCTCAAGCAACTACTGGTAGAATTACATAAGCAACGGAAAGCCATCATAATGATCATGGTGAGCAATCAGGCTTGGTTGAAATGAAAATCCTCACTTGAAATGACTTTCTCCTAGTTTGCATTGTCAAGGTTGCTGCTTTATCAAATGATTTGGAGAATCCTTCCAAGTAAATGTGCAGTAAATGAAGAGGTCAAAGCTTAATATCAGGAGAATGTTTTTGTGTCTGATTTATACTGCAGATCAGCACATTTTTAATTCCTTCATATTATTACTTTAATTATGTTAGGCTACAATAATAATTGGGACTAGGAACTCTGTTGCTAAGTGATGCAATCATAAAGCATGATATGAAGCGACTGCATTATATAGCAACAATTCTGGCAATCCCAGTTGCTATTATGAAATGAGGACTGTGCAGGTCATTAAGCTAGGATCCCATGTCATCATCACAAGTTCCTGACGTTAATCATAGGAAGCTAGTAGGGAATGCCAGAAATAATGATTACATGACCAAGGGCCCTTTGATGACTAGAACTCCAAGGATCAGTCATAGGTCCCCTTCATTCAGCAGCATTGTGAGCACTTGCTGAATAAATGGTCATAAAACAAAGCCTACTTGTATATATTTCAAAATTATATACGTATTAGTGGATAACCCGCTGAGTCATTGTTTCAGAGAGATTTCTTTGCTAGGTACCTTCAACAATGGCAGAGTTTCTAATATAATGGAAAAGTTCTGCCTTGAAAGTAGCCCATGTTGAATTGTATAGCATAGTTAGACATAAGGAATTTTATGTTTATGACGTTTTGGATTGTGTCACAAAATATTTAATGATCATTTTTATGTCATAAAATGTTTTACAAAATTTGTCAAATTTCAGTTCCGTGGGAGTCATGGGTCCCGGATTTTGGATGCTTTTTGTAAGTTAGTCCATTTGAGCTACCTTGATTGAAGTTTTTGCCCTATTGTGCACCATTTTGCCCAAAGGTTAAGGTATCAGAGTACTAATATTATATAGATAGATTTATGAAATTAGTAATTATTAATCATAAAAGTTCTGTTGGAACAGATCTTGGAAATTCTCTAGGCCAGTGTTTTTTAAACATTTTAATACGTTAATTCATTAGAAGAACGGTTGGTGAGACCTCTTAGTTATATCATGATTTCATAACCTCTGTTAGCTCTTATACTTGATATATGACTTAATCAGTTGCTGTTTTTTTTATAGATGGAAATCTCCCCAGAAACCCTTGCTCGTTGTTACGAGGAGGACTTTAAACAAGATATGGCTGCCTTAAAGGTACAAATATTTAATTGATATGCTTAAATCTTGATTGTAAAACTTATTTTGTTGCAGAGCTGCTAGGACAGTGGTGGAAAACTCCCTTTGGCTCATGGGATGCCCTAGTTGTAATAATAGTTGTTGCACCCTCTTTATTTAGTTTTGTAACAACACTTTAAAACCTTTAAGAAAAATAATTCTGGGTGCAACAATAGATAGGCTGTGGCTGAGATAACTTCTGAGGACAAGGGCAAGCAGAGAAGTAAGTAGAATTGAGAAGAAAGACAATGTCTGCTGACACAAAGAAAGGAACATTTATGTTTGGGAAAACGGGGAAAGGCTGAAAGAGGGAGCAATGCCAGGAGACAGACAAAGGAAAGGAGGTTCAGCAGGTGCATAGATATAAAAGTTGGAGGGATAAGAAGAAGGTGAGATGAAAGAGTAGAAACAGTGGAGGGAAAATGAGGTGGAAATCATTGAATCATACTCTGCTCAGAACTGTCCCAGGCCTGGGAATCTGGAGCCTTTGCAACATTTAGATTGACAGTTACAAATTACATGTGCATTATTGTATCTTCACTTTTATGGTTTTAATGCTGTTTTAATTATTGTTAGGTGCCGAGAGTCATGAACTTGCAATTCTATCTTAAAAGGTTAAATCATGGCAACTGGACCAAAGTTTATTAAAACTGAGTCAGTGTGGCAAGAGTTGGTTCTTTCCAATGCCTGTCTGACTCTCTGCCTACCCAAATTTTCATTTTGACTGAAAAAGTTACTTGGATGAATAGCAAAACATCTCAGTTTTAATAAACTTTGGTTCAGTTGTCAAGATTTAACCTTTTAAGATAATTGATGTTCTCCCTTAGAGACAGTCCATTGCTCTTGTATCACTATAATCAGCTGTTATTAATCATCTTAATATATAGTTCTCTTTTTTTACATAGGTCCTTCCTCCCACAATTTACATGAGAGTAACTGAAAATGTTCCTCAGATCATTTCTTTTATACAGCAACTTATTAGTAATGGATATGGTTATGCAACTTCACAAGGTCAGACTTCCCAATCTTATGGTAGTCCTGTGGTGTGTTTGCAGTTCAGTTAGTATGTTGCTTTGGAATTGGCTGGGGCATTCTTGGCCCACCTGTATGGAGAAGATGAGTGTTAGTAACACTGTTGCCTTTGTGTATGAGTGCTACCTTTTTTATTGATGATTGTGACGCACGGCTTGTTGAAAGACGTTATCAAAGGATGAAGTGCAGGCTAACAGGCTACATTGCTAAGTTAGAGCTTAGATCCCTGCAGCCTTTCCTCTGGCTTCTCTACCACTTGTACATTTTCCCCCTCTTCTTTCTCTTGGCTGGGGGCTTACTATTTTACTGGCAAGGGACTTTGGAAATAATAGGGTATAGAAACATGAGCAAACCATTTTTAAGAAGCAAATTGACCTGACGCCAGATTTGTCATTGAACACAATACCAGATTCCAATTTTTGCTTGTAGAATATGCTTGCCTTCACTATTTATGGAGATTGAGAAATCTGCATCCTTGGCATGGTCTTTGTCTCAGTGTGTTTTTCCATTAATGTATTCTTGTCTCTTGGGTCTGCTATGAAATATCTCCTGCCTTGGTACTAGAATGTGGGCAGCATAGGCTACCTGCCATCATCTCTGGGGAACTACATATCCATCTCCAGGGAACAGCATACCTTGGACCAAAGGACCATTGCTTTGCTTGTTATGTATAATATGAATAGTTGCCTAAAAATAGAGGCATTGATTGATGATTCCCTTGAGTAGAATACCAATATTTCCCATCTTTATAATAAGATCAAATTGTTTATTTCCGACAGGTAATGTTTATTTTGATGTCCGTTCTAGGGGAGACAGATACGGAAAGCTAACAAATATTTATCCTGAGACCCAAGAGGAATTTGGTATGTTATTGACAGCTCCTGACCTTTGTACAAGTTTATTTATTTACTTACTATACATATTTTTTCACTAAGGTCCTGGGGAGTTTGCAAATGCCCTAAAATGATCTTAATATTAACCAGCCTAGTATATAAAGCAGTAACAGCAATATAGCAAAAATAGGAAAAAAGTGTTTCCTGTACTCTTTCCTAGAACTATAGTCTTGACCAGCTGTAGAATTATTTCCATAACGCAAGATTTCCCCACAAGTTAATCTTCATAGTTATCTTGGCAGATGCATGACTGAGGTCAGACTATGTTTCATATAGTTTGTTTAATGAGAATAATTTTTATTTCCGTGAACTCGTTGGATTCCATAAGAATTTTGGTAGTAAATAAACTGTACAAATAAAGTGAGTAGAAACAAATTGGAAACAAGATGAAAATTATAATCCAGCTTCATTATATTATATAATGTTCTATAGAAATGTCAGGAATTAGACAATCCGCTCCAAGTTACTTCCCCAGAACTGTTCAAATTTGTCTTGACAACTATACAAGGCTTAAAGAAAGTGATAGGCAACCTTCTGGAGGCAAAGGGTTCCTCAGCATTGAGCCCATCATAGAGAAAGATGGGGTTTTTTGGTCAGTGATTTCTCTGAGAGACTGGACCCCAAGCATCTTTTCCTTGGAAGCATGCATGGGATAGGCAGATTTACAGGCAGTCTTTGCTGCTGTATGATACTTTCCTTTTTTAAAGGAAAGTAGTAATAATTCTATTAAAAATTACAGTAGTAATTCTATTAAAAATTACAACTACAATGATAAAAATCTCTCTCTATAAAAGCAAAATATCATTCACGCATCATCACAAAATCTCCAGAACTGTAAAGCCTACAAATTTGAAATTTGGCACATATATTCCTGTTGGCTTCTAAGTGCTCACTAAGAAAGGATTTTTCAAAATGACCATCAGAGCATTAGTATTTTGTATATTATTGTTAATACGCTCTGATGCTAAGGAGTTCTACTTCCCCTCCTCATCTGAAAAGAAATCTGTTCCAAATGCAAAACACAAGCAGAGGAGAGGAGTTTCAGTTTCAGAACACCAAGCAGCTTTAGTACAGAACAGTTGAGCAAAGCCACACCCAGACTTCGTGGTGTCTCTTTCTTGCTCACACAGCAAATACTGTTTCAGTTTCCAAACAGCCCTCAACTCTCTCATTGACTGGACGCTAGCCAGATGAATACAGATGGATGCTATCACCTTCTTTAAGCCTTGTAGGCAGAGACACATTTTTTCCCCTTATTTTTGTCCCAGAAATCTAAGCCCAATCACATCGTTTTGTTGCGAAGCACGGGTATAGAGCTAGTCTAATGTAAACTAAAAAATAAGGGGAAAAAAAGGTGCAGAAAAAAGACAAGAAAAAATAGAGAGAAAGCAAAAATGTAAAGGAAAAAGTAAAGACATTATCACAAGAACAGATAGTCCTCAACATTATCACAATTGAGCCCAAAAATTCTGTTGTTAAGTGAGTCATTTGTTAAATGAGTGTTGCTGTTTCACAAGCTTTCTTGCCACAGTTGTTAAGTGAATCACTGTAGTTGATAAAGCTACTTACCTGGTTGTTAAGTGAATCTGGCTACTCCATTGACTTTGCTTGTCAGAAGGTTGCAAAAATTGATCACATGACCCCAGGACACTGCAGTGGTCATAAATATGAACCGAACATCTGAATTTTGATTACATGATCATAGGCATGCTGCGAAGGCTGTAACTCTGAAAAATGGCCGTAAGTCACTTTTTTCAGTGCTGTTGTAACTTTGAATCATCACTAATGAACTGTTATAAGTTGAGGACTACCTGTATAAGCAATTTTAGTAATTTATCATCTTTTCCTAAAATACAGGTGATTGCTTCTTCCCATATCCCATCTCTTAACTATATACAGATCCTTAAAACCTCATCATTTCAATTTTTGCGAACAAAAGTCTATTAAGTGTTACTTTTAACAATCTTGATCTATAGTCCTTTCATATAGCATCCGAAACATGATTTGTTTTTATTTTGTCTTTGTTCCTTCTCACAAAATTCTTCAGAGCTTTAACAAGCCTTTTTGCAAATACAATATCAGAAAATTATCCAGGTCACTCTATTAGTTTGGCATTTGTACATCCCTTTAAATTGTTAAGACTTCAGTTGGTTTCTTTTGTATGTCCAGATACATTATACAGCGGTCCCAAAAACTTTCCAGCTTGTAATACTTTCTTTAATTATCCACTGCTGCATCAATATCTATTATTTTACATTTACTATGACTTGATGTTTTTAGCATTAAAGAATGCTGAAATCCCAACAATTTAAATGGGAAATTGGAAGACTCTCAAGAAAGATAAGGGTGTGCGTGCGCATTTAATCCTGCTCTCTTATACACAAATTTCATTCCAATGCACAATGCTAGCTACTGCTGATAATTCTAGCTAAGCTTAATAGAAATTGAAAGTTTAATGCATGAGTTAGCAGTAAGGTAACCTACACAGACAATAGGTGGAGTTCACGGATGTAGACTTTTTAAAATTGTGCACATGTAGTTCTCAACTTACAGCCACAATTGGGACCAAAGTTTCTGTTGTTAAGCGATTCAGTGCAGTTGTTAAAATGAATCACATTATTAATTGAATCTGGCTCCCTCGATTGACTTGGCTTGTTGGAAGCTGGCTGGAAAGGTTACAAACGATTGACCACATAACTCAGTGATGCTGCAGCCATCGTAAATACATGTCAGTCAAAATGCCTGAATTTGGATCACGTGACCATGAGGATGTTGTGAATCATAAGTGCGATGACTGGTCATATGTCTTTTTTTTTCCCCAGTGCCATTGTAACTTTGAACAGTCACTAAATGAATGGTTGTAAATTGAGAACTACCTGTATTTGGGATTCCTTCTGGTCATTCTAGCTAAATGAGGCCCATGACGTCTACACTACAAGTTCTTGATGGATTTCTTTGAAACATTGAATTCCATATTTTTTTTCTCTTTAATCAAGCCATCACTCTTTCTTACTGACAGAGTTTATTGATAAGCGTCACAAGAAGGATTTTGCTCTCTGGAAGGCAGCCAGACCTCATGAGATATGCTGGGATTCCCCCTGGGGGAAAGGAAGACCTGGCTGGCACATTGAATGCTCCACAATATCAAGGTCAGCTCTTTTTTATTTCCTATTCTTGCTTCTGTTCAATAACATATTAACCAGTGCTGGCAGAAACCCTACAGGGTCAGTGTGGGGTGTCAGTTATTTGTTTTATTTACTTACTTAAAACATGCAGCTGCTCATTTTATATCAAACTCTGGGTGGTTCCTAATCAGGAATTAAAACAATATATGAATAATAAAGCAACATAAAGTAATATTAATAACTATTAAAACCACAAAGATGTTTTTATTTGATAAATTCATAAGTTAATAGGATTAATTGCAGTTCGGGACTGTTCTAAGTGCACACTTGGAAGCAGACTCTTCTGAATGGCATGATGGCTAACTAATGCCAACAGCTTTTTGTCTCCTTTGCAGCTTGAATTCTAAACTAACTGCTGTGGTCCATAGCATTGTCATCCTGAATGTTGATTGATTGATTGTGACATATGTCTCTTGGGTTGAAGCCAAGCTTGTAGATGATCTGGGGGGACTGCAATAAAAGAATGGGAAGGCGTTGACAGACTTTTCTGTGGGTTATGAAAATGATTGTTGAGTAGAGTTTCAGTAAAGAATTTATTTTGTGTTTTATATGCCTTACGTCTTTGTACTGAACCGATCAAATTTGTTGAACGTGGTGAGGGAAAGCAGTTTAGAAATGTACTGGTTCCTCTCCCAGGTCAATTTCCTTGGGCCTGATGAAAGGAAATGCCTCAAATAAGACAGCTTTTAAAGGCAGAATTGTACATTTTGCAAATAGCTCTGTATCCCCTTTTGTCTAGGAAAATCCCTTGCAGCAATTATGTTTATAAGGACCAATGTGTTATTTGTCCTTCACAATGTAAAGAAGACATCAGAAAGTTTAGCTTTTCCAGGAACTGCTCAATTAAATTAATGGGAGGTAATGGATGGAGAGAAAATAGTTCCAATTCAGTTTAATATATAAGTAATATACAATCCATTAATATTCAGTATAATTAAATCTATATTGAAGTCTGTAAAGTTGAGGATGTTAATGTAAAAGTAATATTGATGTGAGCCAGATATTTCTTTACTGTATCAAACATTTTAGCACAGTCTACGCCTTTAAGAGATAATCTAGCATTTCCTTTTGACAATTTGAATACTAAGAGCGAGGCTACATTTAGTGGCACATTTGAATAAAGCACAAACATGTAAAAAATCAGATCTATTACAGTTTGGACATATTGCAGCATCCAAGCAAATGGCTTAAAGAAAGTCCCTTGAAAGTTGTGAATAATAAATTCCCAGGTTGGCTCCCAATTTTCTATTGATTTGAAGCAGTAGTTTAGATACCATTTTTATTACATTATTAACATTTCTTTAAATCTAATGATTGTTTATTTATTTTAATTATTACTTTAATAGTCTAGTGTTTGGGGGACATTTGGATATCCATACTGGTGGTATAGATCTGGCATTTCCTCATCATGAAAATGAAATTGCTCAATGTGAAGCTTATCATCAGTGTGAACAATGGGGAAATTATTTTCTACATTCTGGTAAGTTCTAGTTTAACTAAACTTAATTTTTTTATTCCTTTTATTTAAATATCAGAATTCAGGACATTACATAGCTGTGAAGGACAGTGAACTTTGAAGAACACATTAAATAAATCAAGATATACAGTGACTATCATAAAGTGTGCTTATTTCATGGCCTACTACAAGATGTTTCCTTGTTGAAACTATTGGGGTTGCTTTTATCTCGTGCTGTTCTACCATATAGGGCCGTGATGGCGAACCTATGGCACACGTGCCACAAGTGGCACACAGAGCCATTTGTGCTGGCACCTGAACCTCAGGCAAACCTACCTCACGCATGTGTGCACCTCACAGCTGGTTTTTTTTTAGGTTGGTTTGAGGCCTTTTTTGGCCTCCCAGAGGCTTGGAAAGAGCCTCTGCGAGGCTTTTCAGACCGAGTTATAAGCCCACATATCGGAAGTGACGAAACAGACCTATAATTCAGCCTGAATAGCCTTGCAGAGGCTTTTTCCAAGCCTCTGTTAGGCCGAAAAAGGCTTCAAACTAGCCGAAAAATGAGCTGTGAGACTCAGTGCAGGTAAGGGGGTGGCGGGAGAGGGGGATTGCACACGCATGTGCAGGGGGCGGGAGGAGGGGGGCACGCATTGCATTCTGGGTGCTGGCACGCAAGTGCATGTGTGCTGGTGTGTGCACAATTTTTGGCACAGGAGCCCAAAAATGTTAGCAACCACTGATACAGGGTATAGGTTTAGGCAGATTTTATAGCATGAGCCACTTCAACAGCATGTAGTAGCTCTAGCTGACTTTCCACAGATGAACAGTGCAGGGCTCATCTATCCATCTGGATGGTTACATAAGAATTTAAGACAAAAGTTTACTTGGATGCTGATTTCCAGAACTAATGGAAATTCATAAAAGTTGACTTTGCTGTCCCCTTTCCTTCTGAACATATTTCAAGACTTGTGGCATTTGGAGATTCTCTTAAAAACATCATGTAAGGATAAAGAGCTATTCAATCAGAGCAGTAGCACTTTGCTAGAATGGAATTTTGTTACACAAGATACTTCTGCCCAATTTTAGATCTTACTATTACACCCTCTTGTATTGCTGGCCACTTTGCTCAAGAGGAACTGTAAAATTCCTTGGAATCACTAAGTTAATAGGAACTTACATTATGATGATGGATATTAGAAAATGAGATGGCCGGTACCTAAATTCAATAAATAAATAATATTGAGATTCAAGCCATTATATTCTTGGAAATATTTACATAGAACTACTACAAGACATATTTTGAGTTCTGAGGAGAGAAGGAAGGAAGGAAAGAGGGAAGGAAGGAAGGAAGGAAGGAAGGAAGGAAGGAAGGAAGGAAGGACTTATTTCTGAAAAAAATGGTAATATTTCTGCAAATATTTTCATTGTGTTTTTGTCCTCCAGAAACATAGTTTCTTGCCGTTAAATGATGAACTCGTATCTCGTATCTGAGTCCCAGAAAATAAAAATGGTACTTGCCTTTTGCATTTTGGAGGAGGAAAATACAAAAGTAAAATTGAATAATAGGAAACACCTTGGGGAGATAGGGGTAACAATTTCATTCCTTTGTCCTTGAGGGAGATGGGTTTTTGCAATAGGCTACAATCTCTTTGATAGCCATTTTATGAATAGAACACCCAGCTATGGCAGCCATTTTGTGAGCTTCCATTATAGTATTTTCCAAAATATTGAATGTAACTGTGGGCCCCAAATCTTTGCATACCCAGATTTGTAGATGAAAATTGGTTATCTTTAAATATATACACACACACACACACACACACACATATGAAAATACAGCTATTCAGGGTGATTCTTTTTAATATTTGTTTAATTTAAAATTTCAAATGTACCATATTTTTCACTTCATAAGATGCATACACCCCTCCCCCCAAAGTGATGGAAATGTCTGTGTGTCGGTCCTTTGGTGAATAGTAACTGGGTTGTGACGGCAGGATCCTTTTACAGTACTGAACCCTGCCTCTTCTATTCTTGTCCTTGCCCTTGCCCGCCTCTTCTGTCTCTTTTCCATAGTGCAGGAGTCAATAGGCAGAGCTGGCACATGAGAGGACACCTATCTGTGTTCCTCTCAGGCTCCACCTGATTATTATTTTTTCTTGTTTTCCTCCTCTAGGTGCATCTTATGGTCAGGTGTGTCTTATAGTGTGAAAAATACGGAATTGCTTTTGCAACAGTCCAAATGTCTAGGGCAGTTGATGTAATTTGATCACTTAATGACATCACAACACAAGTGACATATATAACAGACATTAATTCTTGAATGGCCAATTTCCCTCAAGTCTTTTAAATGTTTTGAGTTTTTCAGCATGTAGTTCTTACACATTATTTTACTGTTCTTATTGATGGTTTAGGAAACAACAGAGTTTTTAGTGTTACAATTGATAAAAGATTCAGAATTTTACAAGGGAAACAGATTGGATGTTGATTTAAATTGATATAGTAATTTTTAAATATTTAATGTCTTGAATCTAATATGTATATCTTAATGTATGTTTGCCACCCTGAGTTATTTATAAAAAATACTAAAGACTGGAATGAAAATAAACATTACCAGAATAGAAGCTGCTATATTCATTACATTGGATGGTTTTAAAAGTTTCTACAAAGTTTCTATTACTTGATGTGAATTAATAATTGGCTATAATTATTAGTTTGAGAAAATAAATGGTCATTGTTCTGTAACAGAATATAGAATTAAACTTAATAATAATAGCTTTTAGCTTTTCTTGCAGTATTTATGAAATGTACTGATGGATGTTGGAATCCAGCAATACTGAAACAGCTGTAAGTTCTTGAACTACAGCTTGTAAAAGAAATTTGAGTTGGTTTCTATCTCAGGAAGTATGTTATTTTTTCCCAAAAGAGTGGACTAAATGATATACAAAAGGTTTCATGGGATGTTATCTTAAGGAGTAATTTTTTGCCATTAAATATATCCTGTGATTAATTAATTGATAGAAAATGAGAAGTTTTCTCTATTTGACAGTATTTAATTACTTAAATTTTATCATAAAACACATTCCTATCAATTACCAAAAATCAGTTTTTATATATGTAAGGTTTAGAATTCTTCATAGTATTTATTGGTACATAAAAACAATGGATACATATTTAAATATGAGTGTTGAAACAGTTTCATTATTTGTTTTCCTATCTCCTATTAAGAAAAATAATTTTCTTTTGTCTTTTGTAATTCTGGAGCAGTTTTTGTTTTTAAAACAAAGCAGCAACTTGCTTTTTCATTCCAGGACATCTGCATATTAGAGGAAGCAAAAAAATGTCCAAATCATTAAAAAACTACATTACAATTAAGGTACTGTAATCTTACCAGACTATTACTTAATAGTGTTTTTCTGGGCAAAACTGAATGTGCAAGGATTTGGACTGTGTAGAAGGTGGATGGGAATTGGCTTATAGAGGCTAAGTGTGAAGAGTTTGAACACATGAACGTTGGGCTCTCTTCAAATTTGGTGTGCATCTAAGACAAATGTATATAAAGACAGAGTAATAAAAGCTTCCAGTTTCTATTATTTGAAGTTGGGCGGAACCCTTAAAAATGAACAGTACAGTCCTGTGTATTATTATGCAGGATTTACTCTTTGGAGGCCACTGGGACAAAGAGTCAAATATTCAATTTTTTAAAAAAGCATTGCTGTGTTTGCTGTAACTGTATGTCCTCTTTCTTGCAAATTCAAGATACAAAAGCATGCCACAGTATCTGCAACTCTTTGTCAGCAGTTTTCTGCCTTCTACATCTCTTACTTGCGTTACTATCCATCTCTTGTTCCTCTTATCAGAGAATAAGCTCTGTTCCCTGTTTGACTCTCTGAGCGATCCTACCAGAAACAATATATAAAACAGCACTGGTCAGCTGACTTGCCACTAAACGGTGCTGGCCCTTTTCACTGAGGAAATCGAATCTCTTTCACTTTGGACAATAATAGATTGAAATTAATTACTGTACGCCAATATGGTACATATTTTCAGTTTTCTTTATCCTAAGGTTGCTGAATTTTAGTTTTAATGTATTTTACATTTCTAAAATGTTAATATTTCTGAAAAGACGAGTGGGAATGGAAAAGAACATTGCTAGTTACCCAGGACAGAGTCATGATGAGCTTTTGCTGTCTTGCATTTCCACATCTCTGTATCCATAAGAAGTAGAGCTATGCTTTGTTTTCAGAAAAAGCCCCAAATGCTTTGTCAGATTTCATGATTTGGGGTTTAACGATGATTGTAGAAATGGAAGAGCATCTTTAAAAAGGAAAAAGAGTTGTGGAGGCAAAAGTTTTCCAGCTGAGTCCCAGAAACCTTTCCTGGGATTAGAAACAGTGTGTGTATGCATTATTTACAGTGTGGGATGGTATACATTCATTCTTGCAGTGCACCTAGATCTCAGTGTGCTTGTATTTCTCTTTCTCTTTCTCTCTCTCTCTCTCTCTCTCCCTCCCCCCCTTCCTCCCTCTCCCCCTCTCTCTCCGTGTGTGTGTGCGTGTATGCATTATATATATGAATTATATATATAGCATTATATATATGAAAAAATAATCAGTGTTGCTAACTGGTCTGGGCAGATTTGTACCAGTTCAAAACCTGAATAATAATTAGATCTAAGCAAATATTGGCATGTCTGGATGAACATGAAGTTGACAATGTGCTACATTTTAATTTAGAGGTTAAGATATGATGGAAAGCATTTGAATTCTGAAATGGGATCCATCATCCATGCCTTGCCAAACTCTTCATGATCCAACTCTGTTAGCAGAATCAGGAATGAGTCTCTTTCCTCTCTTTTTTTGTTTGTTTCCTTAGGATTTTCTAAAAGAATTTTCATCCGATCAATTCAGAATGTTTTGTTTGCGGACCAAATACAGCTCAGGTAAGAACATTTCTTGGACTAAAGATAGCTTTACAAGATATATATTGTTAATGAATTAGATGCTTACTTTGTGTGCATATCTCTGAAATAACCTTGAAAAGACCTGCATATCATAGAGTTGTTGTAGGGAAAATTGCAAGAAGAAATTCACTTAGAGCAGGAGTCCCCAATCCCTGGCCCAGAGCCAGGCCATGAAAGTGGTGGGTGGGCGCGCAACTGCATTTGTGAAAGTGGTGTGCATGTGTAAAACCATCCCCTCCCCTGCTGTTTGTGCTGGTCCACCCAGCTAGAAAGATTGGGGATCGCTGACCAGAGATGGTATTCAGCAGGTTCTGACCAGTTCTGGAGAACCAGTTGCAGAAATATTGAGTAGTTCAGAGAACCAGCAAATACCACCTCTGACTGGCCCCCACCCCCATCTATTCTCTGCCTCTTGAGTCCCAGCTGATTGGCTGGGTCTTCTTTTGTTACCCTGCACAGGAAAATGGAGCTGGAAAGCAGTTTAGTGGGGTGTGGAGGGAATAGGATTTTGCAGTAACCTTCCCCCAGGAGTCGGGGGTAGGAATGGAAATTTTACAGTATCTTTCCCTTGCCATACCCACCAAGCCACAGAACTAGTAGTAAATTTTTTTGAATCCCACCATTGTCGCTGACTTAGAGGAAAAGCAGGACATACAGTAAATCTGTTAGATAAAAGGATTCTTTTATTATTTAACAGCAAGACTACAATATCACATTGATTGGTTATTTACTAAAATCCGAACTGGAACATCAACGACATTGCTGCTTTTATTTGTAATAGATGCACATGGAAAGGCACATAAAAATATCTGATTGTATATTTGAAATGCATATCAAACATATCTCCATCTGTGTGCTTTGATCTAAAGCAAAGACATAACAAGCAAATCATGCCAAGTCTGAGGGATGAGAACAAAGCAAAGTTTTCCAAGAATTTCTGCATGAAGGCTTTGTAAAATCTGTCAAAATATGGTCTATCTATGATGGCCCTGAAGCATTATTCCTTCTCCTTTGATCTAATATCAGCACAAAAATCCATTTGTATCTGAAAAAGATGCCCCCCACCATTATTATATGTGTTCTGTCTCTGCCACCTAATCACTATGTCTGCTTACCCTATCTGCCTAATAACCTTGCAGGCATTCACACAGCCTTTTTCTCTTGCTTGCTTGCTCAATTTCTGCTTTATTGCTATACACAATCAGGCTTTCCCACTCAGACAAGCCATCCTTCTGGGTATTAACAATAAGGCTGCCTAACACTTCTGGTCAGTCAACCTTACGTCACATACCTTGGTTCCCCCAAAGCCAGTAATCCTCTTATTATAACATCATAATGGTAAGCGAATCAGTATCTGTAGAGAATAAGCAAGTTGAAGTTGATGGAAGTACTTAAGAAGGGTGACCTAGGCAAAAGAGGCTAAAGGATATTCAGGTCTAGAAAGCAAGATAACATTTAGAAGTAGCTAGAGAGATACCTTCCTAATTCATTAGGTTATAAAAAGGAGGTGAGGGGTTGAGCACAATTGGACTTGCAGAATTCTATTATTATAGCCAGTCTCAATAAAGTATGGTTTTAATCTTCCTATGGAGTTAATTTTCTGCTTCGGTCTATTTTGGGAGCTGATAGTTCCTTTATTTCTCAATCACATGGTCATTAGGAATGTGGAGACTTTTCTGATTCGATCCATGGCATTAGAAATAATACATTTTGTTTGATGGGGCAAATACATTTTCAGTGATTAATTGCTGCTTTGGGACACTTCCTACTCCCCAGGTTCAGCAGATCAGATTTTAGATGAAACCATTTCAAACACTAAAAAAGAAGAAGAAAATGTGGGATTCTCTTCCTATTTTTTGAAAAGCAGTCTTGCCTACACAAGTGAATAGCTTTAAAAACTGTTTTAGAACAAGATGATTATTAGTTCCAGATTCCCCCAGTGACTTCCTCCTGAAATTTTCCATTGTCTTTAAATAGGTCTGGTAGAGTTACAAGGAAGGTAATAGAAAGATTGAAGAAATTCCTTCAAAAACTATTAATTTGTTGGCTAATCTAGTTAATCCTGTTCGATTTATTAGTGGACAGTAATAAAGATTCCTTCATGCATTCACGCTCTCATTTGCGCCTAAGCAATAAATCTATATTTTAGTCAAAGCTATTAAATGCTGTGAAACATCTACATCTTTGAAATTGGACTCAGTAGCGTTACAGTACCTTTCCTTTGAGCCTACCTTGGAAGATGAGGAGGACCATAAAATCCATTTTATTGCACAACTTGTTTCCATTTATTTATGGAAATTGGGTGACACTAAAATAGATGAAGAAACAAGGGACATTTAAAAATATTTTCTTTTAGTGCTACTTAGAGCAATCTGTCTGCTAATAAGTGACCAGAGCAATAATTTGCAACATCTGGACTGTTAATTCTTTTATTACTACTTCGCCCTCGTATTACAGTATGTACCTTGAACAATTTCCAAAGATAGAAATCGAATGATAACAGAGTATTACTTGTTTTGATATCTTGTTTATGTATTGTATCTCTTTGAAGCATTTATGTTTGTTTGTTGTCCCAAATATTATTAATGATGCTGCTATTTTTTCAAGTTTAGTTCTAGTGTTCTATAGAACGAATTCTACCAAAAATGGAATTAATGGGGAGATATATATAACAACAAAAGATCTAATTTCTTTGACAGAATAAGATATTGCTCTAATTTGCTTTTATAATTTTCGATATAAGCAAGAAATCCCGTAGTGAGACATTTTGGACAGGGGAGAGGCAGTGAAAGCACAGTATTGTTTTGTTCAGTTTTAAAGTATGCTGTTCTATTCTTTGATATTGCAAAACTGTTTATATTAATCCATATAATTAAATTTATTTTCTTAGGAGTGGAATATAGTAATGATACCATGAATGATGCAAAGAACATTCTTCACACAATACATTCTTTTATAAGTAGTGCCAATGCCTACATGAAAGGACAGTTTGACTGTGATGCCATTAGGGAAGATGAACTGTGGGAGAAGTAAGTGCTGTATTCTCCTTTATAATTTGCATTTGTGATTTGCCTGTTGCCTTATGGAGAAGAACAACATGGTAGAGATCTGAAGAGAAACTGCTTCAAGCAGTAGGCATAATTTTTTAAGACATTCCTTTGCAATTAACTTCTGCATGTAAATCTAATATATAAGGGTGACAATTTAATATGAGTTGGTTGTCTACTTGTTGGGTGCCATAGACTGCAAGTGGGAAAGTAATGGAGTATATTTTTAGTTCATTTTCCTGTGTGTTCTTTTCTGAAGGCTGAACTTGTGAATTTTTTGTGCAATGCCACGGGTAGCCAAATATTAAAAATAAATTAATGGCAAATTTTAGTAAATCTCATGTGAAAGCATGGACAACTTGCATGATTCAGCCACTTCATTTTTTAAAAAATAAAGTGCCACCTAGTGGTGGCTTGAGTAACTCAATGCCTACAAGTGCCAGGTTCTTAACCCTCTACTTGTGTACGTTAACAATTCCAAAGTTACTTTGTCTAGACCTAAAATATGGGTGATGAAATACCTTTTGTTTTGTGTACGAATAAACAGAACAAGCAATTCTTCACTTTTATTTATTTTTTAAGTAGGACACTATCCTGAGGGAATTGGTGTATTGCTGAACTGCACCTTTTAGCATTCTTAGCCAGGGTGCATTTCCATACATCATAATACAGACACACACAATACACATGCATGCCTAGAATATGTCAGGGATAATTGTAGAAAATGCCTATGGTTCCCATATAAAGCAGCTTTCAGTTTGACATCTGATTGAAGTATTTTTATTTGCTGATTGCCTTATAGTCATGAGGCAAAGTTTGGATTCTGGTATCTTATGTTCTCCATTTTTCTTCAAGACTAGCTCTTACTAAGACAACAGTAGAGGCAGCATGTGCAGATGACTTCGACACTCCCAGGGCTATTCGTGCAATTTTGGACCTCATTCACTATGGCAACAGACAGCTTAAAACCATCACTAAGGTAACCCATTAGGACACAAAGATCAGAAAGCGACAGTTGTCTAATTCTATACTGACTGAAATCAGCGTGTTATTTTTTTTAGAATAAGCAATCAGGAAAAAAAATAGCAACATACTTCATTCCTATAGCAGGCTTTATCCATACTGCATTTGCAAAAAGTCAAAAATGAATGTGTTATGCTTTAAATTGCTCAAATTTTATTTTTGGTCATATTTTTTATACTGGATTTGTAGCAGCTTATGAAGGATGCCTTTTTCTTTGCCAATCATTGGATTTTCTTATTTCTCATTCTGGAGAGGCCTTCCCTATCACCGTTCCTCAAATGGTGGTTGATTGTGAAGGGTTTTTAAAAAAGCTTCCCCTGCATTTGTTGTACGGTTTTGTAAAACAGAAATCACGAAATTTTTCCACTCATTGACCTCTTTGTGAAATTTCAGATTATTAATTGACACCCAAACATTTATTATATGAAAGCTATTTAAGAAAGATTTCAGCTAATCATATTGTGAATAATATTAATAAAGTTAGAGAGCTATGCTGGTGGTAGTGTATTCTACTGGAAGGGTCACTCATGCGAGATAGGTCTTTGCGGAATTGCCAAACTGATATATCTTTCAGTTGATTTAATATGGTGATAAACAGAAGAAGAATCCTGTAAAAAATTGTAAAACTGGAAGACCCCAAAACAATAGAACAGTGGAAAAGCCTCAGATAACAATTGTAAATATAAAGAAAAAAATGATATGAACTGCAGAAATTATAATTTAAATGCAAGAATAGTCAGTATGAGGCAGAACTGAAACAACCAATGAACTAAGACACACACACACACACACACAATTTTTTTTTAATTATGGCATATGCAGAATTACTAGTAGAAAGACAAAGACTGCCAGTATTTAAATTTGTGCCCCCAAAGTCTTGTCACCAACAATGCAGAATGTGAATTTGCAAGGGTTAAAATAACTATCAAAACAGTTTGCCTACAATACAGCAATGGTGATTACAGAAGAACTGAGTATTAACATTAAAAAACCAAAAGCTAAATTATATTCAATTCCAAAGTGGAAGATCAGACTGGAGGCACAGATGAAGAAATTAAGATCAGATGCAAGTAATTTAAAAAACATGAAAGAACACAAATTGAAAATTGTAAGAATCCAGACAAGCCTAATTAAAAAATACTGGCTTAGCACCAGAAAAATTGAAGGAAGTTTGAAAAACATAATGCAATAAGCAACATCAGTAGCTGGGGAAATAGAATGCTATGAGGCATAAATCATCCAGTTTAAGGTGGTTGGAAATGAAAAATATGGGCTTATTAAGTTGAGAAGATTTTGGAAAATGAACAGGTTAAGATCTTATGGGACAGGCATCCTGTTCATAATATCATCTGTTCAGCATATAATAATTATTGAAATGAAGAAAATCTGATTCATTGAAGTTGCTATTCTTAATGCTACAGTTGAGGAAAAACAGTTGGAAAAAATTGGCGCTAGTAGATTAAAATTGAACATTTATAGAAAAAGAAATCCACTGTTATACCAATCATGATTGGACCCAACTGAGTGATATCTAAGTGGTTCCCTCGACATCTGGACCCCAATTTTACAAAAACCATCCTGCTTGGAACTGTCTATATTCTTAGATGTTAACCTAATAATTATTAGCTCCTTGGTTAGTATTTGAATTATTATGCTTCCACCAGTCTTAGACTGTTAATCTAACTGTAGATTATCCACACATAATAATATTGACCTTTTGGGATAGTCCCATCAATCTCTGGAGGTTGCTATTGACCATTTTGGGAAACCCTGCAGTAAACTGACTGGATTGTTTTCACTGATTTGGAGTCATGGTTTGTTTTAAAGACTGTTGAAGATGTTGAATCCTGTCACCTCTTGTCTACCTAACTTCCATTCCATTGTTTGTCTTTAACACACACATACTTCCTCTTGAAGAGAGTTGTTTTTGTTTCTTTTCTCCATTCCCACGTCTGTGACTTTTTATCCCTGGTCCATAATGGATTATATCATCAGGCTACTAAGTTTTACAGCCACAATACTTTTGATAACAAAGGCAGTAGAACTTGTTTCCTTTTGAATGATAGTTTGGCAAGTCATTTTAGTGATGAAGGACATATAGGAGAAGAGATGAAATAAGGTGCTCTCGCTAGGACTTTGTAAAAGTAATTGGAAAGGTACTTCTCAACCTACTCCTTGAAAGTATCAAGTTTACTTAACCTTCCTGAGATATTTTTTTCTATATGTGTATATTTTCTCCCTCTCAGTTTAATAAGAAAGTGAGTATCTGTGCTTTTTTCACAATTTCTGGATAATAAAAGTACTAGGTCTGTGATGGTGAACCTATGGAATGCGTCCCGGAAGTGGCACACGGAGCCATTTCTGCCAGCACGCGAGCCATCGCCCCAGATCAGGTCCACTGCGCATGCACGCACACCTCCTGCCAGCCAGCTGATTGTCAGGTATCTGCTGCGCATGGGTGGGGGGTGCACGGAAGGCACATGCGCAGAGGCATGTGGGAGGTGGTGCGTGCATGTGCAGGGGATGGGGCGATCACACGCGCATTGCATTATGGGTGCAGGCACGTGTGAACATGCACACTTTAGGCACGCGAGGACGAAAAGGTTAGTCATCACTGTACTAGGTGGATATGTCTGGCATGCCCTGTGGGCATATAAAAAATATGCCCTCTTTCCTTATTTCTGTTCACTCTGCAGTTCTGTTTGTCATTTCCTGCACAATACAGATAGTCCTCGACTTACAACAGTTCACTTAGTGATCAGTTACAATGCCACTGAAAAAAGTAACTTTACCAACATTTTTCGTACTTATGACCGTTGTAGCATCCCCATGGTCACGTGATTAAAATTCAGACACTTGGGAACTGACTCACATTTATGACTGTTGCAGTGTCCTAGGGTCATGCAATCACCTCTTGCGACCTTCTGACAAGCAACGTCCATGGGGAAGCCAGATTCACTTAACATCCATGCTACTAACTTAACAACTGCAATGATTCACTTAAACAAGAATGGTCATAAAATGGGGCAAAATTCACTTGACAGATGTTTCACTTACCAACAAAAATTTTAGGCTCAATTGTGATTGTAAGACGAGGACTACCTGTAGTTAGGTATTTTTAAACATGGGTTTTAAGAGAATTGCTTTTATGCATCTCATGTTGTCCCATCTTCCTTAGAATTATAGCTTCCCTTGCTACCATTCAGAATTTTCCATTCTTGGATAAAGTAGCAAAGGTTTAAGATAACGCAATTTCCTGCAAAGTTGCTTTCCAGGATGGTTGGGAAATGTTTCATTTACATCTTGAGGTCATGTGCTGAAGCCTTAGTCATCAAAGTGACTGGTTCCAGTTATTCCAGCTTTTTCTTTATATCTATTTTGAAATCAGGAAACAAGATCCCCTAGAAGTGCTATTGTCTTTGGGGCCATAGTCTCCTACATGATGGAATTTTTTAACGCAGTTGGAATCACCTTTGCTGAAAGTCAGGTAAGAGTCTGCTATAAAAGAGAGTTAATTAATTAATACCTTAACTATAGGCTCATCCCCCCAGCATATAGCCAAATGTTTGTCAGGGCTTATGGGCTGTGTGAAAACAATTTTCAACAACCAACTTACAACAGTTCGTTTGTGACTGTTCGAAGTTACGATGGCACTGGAGACTTATGACCATTTTTCACCCAACCGTTGTAAGCATCTCCATGATTATGTCATCAAAACTCAGATGCTTAGCAACTGTCTCATATTTATGACAGTTGCAATGTACTGGAGTCACTTTTTGCAAACTTTTGACAAGTGAAGTCAGTGGGGATGCCAGATTCACTTAACAACCATGTTGCCAATTTAACACTGCAGTGAAACAGTTGTGGCAAGTAATATGACAAAATTCACTCGACTCGCTTAGCCACAGAAATGTTGGGTTCAATTGTGCTTGTAAGTCAAGGACTACCTGTATATGGTTTCCATTGTTAAGAATTTTATGTATTTAAACGTACAATGCTGCGACCACTCTGGGCCATCTCCTTCTGAGCAGCAGCAGTTATAGCAGACTTTAAAAAATGGAACATGTTTTCCTGCTCTCAGTGGAACCAAATTTTCAGCATAGGACTTTGGCATGTTTCCCACCACTCTGTATTCCACCAGGAAGAATGCAGTTCTGTAATAACCTCTTCACTTGAGCTCAAGTGCTGTACTGTTTGCTACCTCTGAACTGTTTTCTTTGATGGGATTTTATTAAGTTTGAACTTGGTCTTAATTTAAATTTGGGGAAATACTTTGAGATTCAACACTTTTTCCTATGTGAATGGGACAACTCTCTGCAGGACAGCTTGCCACGGACAACTCACTGCAGTACAATTTAGCAATTGTATTTAATTATTATTTAAAATAAATTTAATTTTTTTTTTGCCATTCACATTTCTTTCTGTCCCTCTTTTTGCATCCTTTTTTAATGATTCTTTGCCACCATCTTGTTCTGACCAAGGCTTCCTAGACTGTAATTACGCACATACCTATTTTAAAAACAAGTCTTATTTTATTGCAACGCTGGGAATTGTTTTCATTCCCAGATGGTAATTAATCTCAAACAATCTCTCAAGATAAGCACTCACCTTTCTTTTCTGTGAAGTGTTGCCAATAACAGAAGTATCAAATGAACGAGAGAAAAAACCATCCGAAGTACAAAGAGCTTCAAGAATGAATCTGAACCAAACGAACGACTTTGCTTCCTGAAAAGGTTTCTTTACCTTTGCCTGTCCTTTTTATCATATGGGAGGGGCAATCACCTCCCAGCCTTACTCCCGAGTCACCCCTTTTGTTTCAGCTGCTCTTGCCTTCTAGCAGCTCTGCGCGCGCACACACTGGGAACAGGCTCCCCTGGATCCTCTGCCTCTGCTGCCAGACTCTGGCGGCTCCAGAGGCAGCACCCCACTCCCAGATGGTCCTGGCCCCATCTCTGATCAGACGCAGGACCCTCATCCAAATCCTCTCCAGACTTCCGGACTGATCCCCTTTCTTTCCCACTGTCTAATTCTGCTGCTGTCTACAGAGGCTGCCGGCGAACCACAACATATCTCTTCAATATTAGCACAACTCTTTTCCCGCAGCGAGTTGTCCTGCAGCCAATTGGCCATAGTGAGTTGGCCGCAGCAAATTATCATAGACCTCTTTCCTGTTGCATCATTGAAGCTATAATTGACTTTTATTGGCACATATATATATATATATATGTTATTGGTCTTGATTTTAACTTTACCCTTATTACTGCTTTCATTTTACATTTTGTTCCTCCAAAGGCACCCAGAATTCATGTACAATAACAGTGAAAACCAATCTTTAATGAAAACAACCTTGATAATGATTTATAGGTTCTCCCTGAACACAAGCATTCAGCTTTGCTCTCCAGTGTGATAGATGAACTAGTGAGCTTCCGGATCAAAGTGCGCAGTTTTGCTCTTGCTACCCCTGAGGCTGAAGAAAGTCCATCTCCCCAAAATGCTGATCTCTTGGAGGAAGTAAAACTGCAACAGAAAGAGGAAAGGCGGCAACAGTTGCAGGAGAGAATGCCCCTTCTGCTAGCATGTGACCGCCTTCGTCAAGACTTGGCCTTATATGGCATCAACATAAAGGTTTGTCTCTGCATTTTCCAGAATCATTTTTATTTTACTGACTGCGTAGGCAAGCCGAGGAATAAGCTCCAGCTGTACTTTTCCTTCACAACAGGCAGTGTCCTTTTTTCTGCTCCATACTGTAATGAGAAATCTTAAGGGTAGGTCTGACCTGAATCCCTATGTTTGATTGAAGAATGTCGTATCTCATTAATGCTGGGCAAGCTGTTTTTGCAGATGTTCTACCTGGGAACAACATGGTTGAGATTAAAGAGGCTCCATTGTTTTGAAGTGTCACTGGGAAATTTTAAATACTTACGTAGTCCTGTAATTGCACAGAAAGAGAGGGCATAGGGTTCCACAAATTTTACTTGTTCAAGCAGCTTTTGCTTTTCTTTATCTGCCTAGAGACCAGAATGAGTGGCCGGGAGTCCCCCAGGCCACCAGATTTTTTAAAATAGAGGAATAAGCACTTCCGAAAAATAAGGAGTGCTTAATTCAGTCACATCATATACTTATTTATTCAATTTCTGTTAAGGAAGAAAGCCAAGCTATAAGATGAACATTAAGCAGTACATACTGTACAACATGGTCATCTTTGGTACAAATAAAGATAACTGATTTCGAACTTATTCCGGTGAAACATATAATCAGTGTTGAGATTGCATTCCAGGAACTATTTAGCATATCAATTATTGGGTGTTGTTTTGCTGGAGCCCATAATGTTAAACTGAAAACACAGGGAAGTCAGAAAATTTGTAGGTAGGGGCAGATAGGGTGTTTCTGGGGAAAAATTTAGCCCATCACTTAAGTTTATTAAGCTATGGAAAGCTTAAATTATGAAATAAGGTTTACATGAAGTCTAAAATGTTATCAGTAAAATATTACGTTCAAGACAGAAAATACCAATCACAGAAAAGAAGATAAAGGATCCAACATAGTGCAGTCTAATAGGTTTTTTTTTTTCAAATAGCATTGTCAATAAGAAATCAAGTGTTCTGAATTTGTACTTTTAAAACTAACTGCTAACTTTACTTTTTTCATAAAGTAAACTTCAGTCAATAATTCCCTGAACTAACATTGAGTCTTGTGGATCAGTGCCTTAAATACATAATTACACAAGTGGAAAAATGCAATTGTTTCCATTAAACTGGAATGAAACAATCACATTAAAAATGTAAGGTTTGATCTAAGCCATTTGTTAAAAGCTTAAATGAAACATTAAAAGTCTGAAGTTTGCCCAAACCTGAATATTTTTAAATGATAATTTAATTTATTCACTCGTATTTTTATAATTGAATGATAATTGCCATAATCAGTTTAACTTCCACAGATTAGATCTGCAAAAGTAATATTATGTGAAGCTGGGTTTTTTCCCATATCTGAATCTGGATCTGAAGTGAGGACTAAAATTGATATTTTGGCTAAGTGTCCTTAAGATTTGTATTCCAAATTCAGCTTTGATTTATAAAAGGAAATATAATGCAATTCTCTGCTTTTTCTCTCCTATCCTCACCCCATTCCCCAACATATTTATAGGATAGAAATTCTACTTCTACATGGGAACTTGAAAAAATCAATAATGAACTGGAAAAGCACTGATAAAAAGACAGGTGTACATTTGGAGTGATCTTTTGTTAATAAGAAAAGCCAGACCACAGAATATTGCCCCTTGGATTGCTGGACTTTTATTCTAAACCAACTTAAATAAAATACTGTCAAAAAAATCTAGTTTGGTGATTTGAGGAATACATGAGTTGATTTACTGATTGACATCTGTCACTGCCTATGTGAGAGTTACTTCAAATGAGTCTTCTAAAATAATAGAAATTATCTAGTGAAATCTTTGTCAGCTCTAATGATTCAAGCTTATTCCCATCTGTTATGATCATATGGTTGAAATGAACCTCTCTACATATTCACACTTTTGAATGATTTAGACTGAAGTGTAACATAATTAAAGTATGGTTCAGTTTAACATCACCAAAAGTACCAAATTAAGTGAATTTTTGAGAACAGGGATGAATTAAAGATTTTATATTTTAACATCAAAAGTCTACTTTGTCAGGATTAGCAGAATTTCACATCGGATTTAACAGTTTTTCTTTGGTTGATACCAAATGAGCATTTCAAGAACTGAAGCACAGAGCATGGTCTGTGGAAGTTGCAGCCGTCCTCAGCTGGTGCCCTTGTTCCCTACAGTGTCAAGAAACATTCAGGTAAACAGAGGCAATTGGCAAAGTAGATACATTTGGGCTTTTTGAAGACAACTATTTTTTTTTTTAATGAAGAGTATGTGGAAAAAGTCAAGTAACATGCAGAGGTTGGAAAAGGTAGAAGCAAGGCGCGTTAAGAAGAGTGTTTCCCCAAATAGGTAGGCCCCGAATAGTATCTGGGATTCAATGCTTTTTGTTGGTATATTCCCTCAAAAAGAAGACAGACTAATGTTTTAACGGAGTATGAAGGATACAATACTTGACCAGAAAATGTTGGATGACATTTCTTTTCAGAAAGGACCTCCTGCCTTTGCCACTGTAGCCTCCCCCCCCCCCTTCATGAATGATGCTTTCTGTGACTGATTAGATTGATCAGAAACAGAAAAAGTTTGGGTAGTTTTTCTGCAGAATTCCCTGGGGCTTGTGCATATCTTTTTGAAATGTTGCTATCTGTGGACATTTCTGTTGTTTTAGGCTATTTTGATTCATATTGTGTATGGAAAAGCAAGCAAAAGAATGATGAAATCACAATAAACTTCTGTTTACGAAATTAGTTTTCTTGCAGGAACACTTTTTGTGGGGATACAGAGATTGGGCTGCCATTTGTCAGAAATGGTGTAGGGGCTCCCGCTTGGGCAGGGGGTTGCTATATATCCTTTTCGTAATTCCTCAAAAACAGATATACAGTTATACGAAAAAGTAAGTATAACCATGTTAGGGTGCGGGGTTTTGGATATGTATGTGTACATAACATTTTCAGTATATAAAGTTTATATCATTTTAGCCATTGTTTATCAATTGCAGGATGAAGGCCTCTTCCGCATGTTTCCATCCAATACGGTGACATTAGAAGTATTGTGGGCCCAATTGGCAAAAGAAATCTGAAGAGGCTTTTATCCTGCAGTCAATAGACAATAGGTAGGATGATGGATGATGACATCAACTTTATATACTGAAAAAATATATACAGGTCAAAAACTGATGTAACCGAATTGAAATATGAAAAATTGACATTGCAAGAGTTTATTCAATAAAAATTTAACAGATGCCATTTCTTTCTATGAAAAATATACCTTTGGCAGAAACCACTTCTTATCATTGCATGCCAATCTCTGGAAAGTTTTTCCATGCCTCATCCAGAATTTTTTTCAGCTGTGCAATGTTGAAGGTTTCTTGTATGCATATCCATGGCCAATCATTACAGCATCTTGATGTCAGTTGTATGTGTATTTGGGCCATACAAGGACTTTCATTTCCATCCCCCCTCCAGCTATTCTTTGGTTGATTCACAAGCAATAGCACTTACACTTATATACCGCTTTACAGCTATATAAGTGGTTACAATCAGCATATTGCCCCCAACAATCTGGGTCCACATTTCACCAAGCTTGGAAAGATGGAAGGCCAAGGCAACTCTGAGCCAGTGAGGATTGACTTTTTAAAGGTCACTGTCCAATTGCTTAGCCATTTTTTCAAATCCCTTCAGATTCATAGGCATCTATAACCTTATTTTCTGAAGGCCTCAGAGTACTTGAAGAGCAAATAAAAGAAAAAGCAGAATGAAATGTGGTGGTTTTAATAAGACAAGTTTCTCCCTGAGCCTGTCATAGGTAGTCTTCAACGTATGACCATTTGCTTAATGATCATTTGAAGTTGGTGGTGAAAAGTGACTTACAACTAGTCCATGCTGTGGCAGCATCCCCAAAGGCACAATCAAAAATCAAGCACTTGCCAATTGGCATGTATTTATGAGTTACAGTATCCTAATGTCTACTCAAAATATTTTGTCTTTTTAGAGTTGCCAACAGAAAGGAAGGGGGAAGCAGTGGGCCGTTTGTATTCCATGTTTTCAAAGATAGTTTCTTGGTGACCCAAGTGTCTGCTGGGCAAAATTCTAACTGGAGAGTATGATTAATGATTCTTGGCTATGGATGTGTCCCATTGGAGAATATGAATTATGATACACCCAGGGGCGGGGGAAAACCAGGGTCAAGGGTGACAATGAATGATGTGTCTCAGAGTCCGCTACACCCAGGTGGTGCTGGCATGCTTACTCCTAATTTAAGTTTTGAGAGTTCGGCTAGAGTCTCATGATTTAACTGCCGGGGCCCTAAGACCTAGTATCAAATTATATGAGTTTCCCAGCCAGCTTCCAACAGGCAAAATCAATTGGGATATGGATTCACTTAAAAATTGCACGATTCACTTAATGACCAATTGATTTTCATAATGACCATGGTATAAAGGTCATAAAATATGACTCACTTAATGACCTCACTTAGCAGCAAATGTTCTAGTGACTAGTCCCAATTGTGGTTGCAAGTCAAGGATTACCTGTATGTTCTAATCATTGGCCCCTGCCCTCTTGTAACTAAAGTCTAATTTTAAGAGTTATCTGAATTGGAGCTTAATGTAGAAGTCTATTTACTTTTTCCATATGGAAATTCTTCATTCATGTTAATATCAAATTACACAAGGAACTACAAATGTAAATGAGGCATCTTTGTTATATCCCCTTTAGCAATATTATTGAAATAAAATTCAAATATCTATCTTGAAAAGGTTAAATAAATCAATGGGATTCATTTGTTTACATGACCATAGGCATTTATATAGGTAGTCCTCAACTTATGACCATAATTAAGGCCAAAATTTCAGTTGTCAGTTTTGTCCCATTTTATGACTTTTCTTGCCACAGTTAAGTGAATCAGTGCAGTTGATTAGTAACCCAGGTATTAAATGAATCTGACTTCCCCATTAACTTTGCTTGAGGTCACAGGTGATCACATGACCTTGGGACACAGCAATCATAAGTATGAACCTATTGTCAAGCATCTGAATTTTGATCACATGATCATCAGGATGCTGCAAAGATCGTAACTCTGAAAAAAGTCCCATTTCAGTGCTGTTTTAATTTTGAACAGTCACTAAACGAACTGTAAGTCGAGGACTATCTGTATTATCTATACTTTTGGCATCCTGGGAATTCCACATTATTGGTATCTCTTGCAGTTTTCAAAAAATTGATAGTTAACAGATGTTATAAGGAAAGGATTTGATTATCTTGTTAGTCGTCGAGTACAACCACTGTAATTTCAATGCCTTCGTGCAAGCTAAACAGACTACTGTGTTTGCATGCTTTTGCACATATATGAACACCCAAATGGGACTACTGATTTTATTCGTGCCTCTCAGTCTCCAGATTAGACTGGCTTGAATAAGGGAAATCAACAGGTGTCTTTTTTAATATATATACCTTCCAGCAGCAGAGAAAGGAGCAGGTTGTATCTCTAGAGGGAGCTCCTTTCACAGCTACATGATTATTTCTGCTATTTTGATTTTAAAATCTACTAGTCATTCATTTCCCTCTTTCTGTTCGTTTCACCGAATAGCAAATAGATTTACTGGAGTGAAGAGTGTTGTTTGTCCCCATCACCTAAAATCACTCTGCAGGAATCCAAGAGATGAGCTTGTTCCAAGTGCCAATCTTAGTGGGTATTTATGGGAATGATATCTGTGGTTGAGGTAACCGTAGTCAGTGCCCAGCATGGAACTCAGTTTCACAAATTCCCCTTCTCTTGCAAACTCTAGAAATTGCCTGTTTAATCCTGAGAGTGAGCACTCTTAAATTCAGAACAGTGTAGAGCAGCGTTTTTCAAATTTGGCAACTTAAAATGTGTTTAGAGGAATTAAAAAATTAGCTGCTATTAACCTGGATCAGAAGGAGAGAGCAAGAGAAAACTGTACTTTTCCCCCTTTTGCTTTATATGAAAGGATTTGGCTACCCAGAATCAGAAGCCCTAATATATATATGCAAATACTATTTTGGGTACCAAGAAAGCTTCCTGATTTTTTTTTTTTACATTTTATTAAAATAATTGGAAACTAGCATACTGAAGAACGACTATCTTGACATACTGATTTGCAAGAATGCTTCTAAGCTCCAAATGAGCCCCATCCACACAGCAAAAAAACATATTGTGTAACAGGATGCATCCTTGTGGAGCTAACTTCATAACCGGTTGCTTTGTATTGGTTCTATCACCAGGAGAGCTATTTTCTGAATGAAAACATCAACCCAAAATCCATCTCGAAGTGAAGTTTGCAAAGTAATCCAAATGTTCTATCAATTCAAAAAGTTGGGGATTCCTATTCATGAACAGGGCTTGATATACTGGTTAGAGAAAGGCTTTGCTTAAAACCCTTTTGACATCTCTAATGGAATATTACTGTACACAGGTACAGGCAGTTGATGGAATGAATCCTTATTTATTTTTCTGTAGGGAGAAATGAGCTGCAGTGTTGAGGCAAATAAATGTAGCTTAAATGGAAACGCCAGTTCAATGCCTTGTCACATTCATTAGCCACATTCAGATCAGGATGAACAAATACTCGCTATAGTTATTTCAATCTGTCATTTTTATTTCCTCAAAAGAAACTCCTACAGCTTCAGAAAGTTTCAAATGTAAATCTTTATACACTAGTGAACAACATAAAAAACAGGCAGATTTAATGTAGTTATTCATCTGAGCCACCTGAAAAATTGGACATTTGGTTTCCCTACAAATTTAACTTAAATGTTCACCTTTCCCATCACTCAGGTCTAATGATGGTTTCAAATTTATGGGAGAACTCTGGTACATGTTAACTGAAAACAACATATAGTGTATGATTAACATCTTCCTTTTGTCAAAAACTTGCCATGAGTTCAACAACACAGGGAACCCGTTCCACTTTATGGGTCTAACACCCACAAATGAAGCGTCTTGAATGGTTGACTTGCCTTTTGTATCTCAAATAACTTCAGATTGTATAATGGAGCAGACATGAGAGATATAGGGGTTTAGACAAAAACTTGCATGTCCTACCGTAGATTCCCTTCAACATGCAAGAAATAAAAAAATTGCACTGAGTGGTTTAGATGTGGAGACTAGTCATGTAAAACTTCTGTGTATTATAACATCCTAGTCACCTACACAGATAGGAAGAATAAGGATTAAGTTCTACTGCAATTTTCTAGAAGTAGGAATTCAATATGAGATCTGCTTCAGGCAGATTCTGGTTTTGAAATATTTTTGGTTCCAGAGAAACAGGCTCTTGTTCAGAGTCAATTCAAAAATTCAGAAAGCAAAATCATGACAATTTGTACAACCGGAAACAAGGCAGAGGCCCACCATTCTTCCCCGCTGTCTTATTCCTCCACAAATAGTAGAGCGATCCTTCACGCCTACTTCCAAGGAGCAGAACCTGTATCGTAATTTTTTCAATGAGCTGTGTGCTCTGAACTTTGAAACAACCGAAGAAGAAGAAGACTCTTAATATAAAGAAAACAAATGTATTGTTCTGAGGTAGAAATCTCAGTGCATTGAAATGTTAATCATAAGCACTGAATTTATACAGAGCAATTTCTTGCTTGCACAAAGAAAGTTAGCATTAAACGGTACTGTAACATGTGACAAACCCCAGTAGCAATTATCCATACACAAAGAAGAGTGTTAATTTCGCACTAGAAAGTATACACTAAGGCTTACATTGTCCACATGTACTTTGGAATAAGCTCCACTGAATTGTTGGACATTATTTCTGAGTAAATATGCATAGTCGTAGGTTGTTAATCATTCAAGTAAACCAGTTATATTCCATCATCTTTCTATGCAGTCTTTTGAAAACCATTATTACGAGATGAAACTGTTGAAATCAAAATATTTAGTTCATCAATCATACCAAATTAAACTTTTTCATTCAGTAAAGCTGAAGTAAAGGATACACTTAGGGCAGCTGAATGCTTGAGTGATTCTATAGCCTTTATTACAATGATGCTGAATATTAAGAATAAATTGCTATTGAACTTTGAACTATCTTCTCTCTATGTTGCAATCTGGATCTTATTGTGCAATTCAGGTTAATTCTTCACTTTTCATTTTTGAATCACTTCAATGCTGGTGACTTTTTTTTCCCCTCTAAAAACACGTCCACATGCAGTAGTATGTTAAAAGGTGATTTTTAATGCTAGTATAAAAGCATGAAGGACACTTTCCATTGACAGCTATCTATGTGCAAAGACTATGCAAGAATTGCTTACGGTGAACTGTTTCTAAAACATTCCCCCTTTTGTAATACGACCTGCTGAACCCCTAATTCTAAGTATGCCTAATTTTTCCGCAAATGATTTGGTTTTATGTTCTAAACTAGCACTGAATAATAGATGAAGCTTTAATACATTCAGCTAAACAAATTCTATTTTCACATGCCATGATTTACAGCTTCTTGGTGCTGCTGTACAACAAAAACTAACAACGCATTTCCAACCTTCCCCCCTCCTTTCAAGAAGGAACAAAAATGAGTGTCTTTACAGACCAAGGAGTCAAAGGCAATTTGCATGCAGTCTCTGCTCAAAGATGGCACTTATCAAAAGTGGCATACTAAGTGCACAGAACTGAACCTCTGTAATTGTTGCGAGAACAAACAAATTAATTCTTGCAAATCAAATTAGGAAGCTGAGAGCTAGTGGAAGAATATTGTAATACAAGCCACCAAAGTACTTTAAAATCCCATTTTCACATATAGTTCATTTTCATTCCACTGAAATTAGTTAAGTCCAGGGCCATGAACATTTAAATAATTAGTGATTTTTCAAAAGGCAGCTTGACTGTGTTTTCCTTGAGAAACACAAGACGTTTCACTTATCATCCAAGAAGCTTCTTCAGTTCTAACTGGATGATGGGGGGAGGGTGGGTGGCAATGGAGGGATTGCATTTATTTTCAGTCATCTGATTGTTAGCACTCTCTTTGAGAGTCACTGAGTCTCAGAGAGTATGGTCTCAGAGAGAGTGCTAAAGACCAAGATGACTGCAAAGAAATATGATCCTTCCATCCTTACCTTCTTGGATAAGAAGTGAAACTTCATCTTCCTCAAGGAAAAAACATGGTCCAGGTGCCTTTTGAAAAAGCATCTTTGAGACAACCATGACCTGGATGACTGGGAATCCACAGACCTTTAAGTATTTACTAGAAAATAAGCCCTGTTGAATTCAAATTACATATATATGGGGCTTATGAATCCACAGATGGCTGATCTTTATGTTGCCTATCAAGTGAATATTTTTGCTACTAGTAGTTATTGCTCAAAAACCAACCTGTAAGATAGAACTGAGGAAATACTTTCAGTTTTGTTTTATTATAACATCTGCAACTACAGCTTATTCATCCCAAAAAAGGGAAAGAAAAAAATATTCCAAACCCTTTAAAAATACCTACACTTTTTATTTTAAAAAATAAAAACTACCTAGTATACCATTACTGTTAACAGCACTTGAAAAGGGGTGCATTGTACAAGGATATCCTACTGTAACTTTCGTGGCTGCTAGACTTGTTCTTCTTTTTCCTCTTCTGCTGCTTTGGTCTTAGGTTTCAAAGAGTTTATTAAAGGCTGTTCCAATTTCTAAAACCATGTCAGAGGCTGTCATAGACCGTCCAAATTTCTGAAAGGCTTGGTTGTTGCACTGCCTTGTAAGTGAACATGCTCCAAATGCAGCCACTAGAAAGGGATTTTGACTAAAATAGAAACAAGAACCCCAATTAAATCTGAAATGAGCATGGCTATTCCCCCAGAGCACAAACCAACCAACAAATCTTTATTAGCTCTTAGGGCAGTGCAAGTAGAACAGTAGGAGCAATGAAAAGAATAAGAATGATGGATCTCATTTGCCCACCAGATCAGAGTTAAAATATGCTACATGTCCCAGACCTGTTTGTCCAACTGTGGGCTAAAATGCAAGTAACAATAAAAACATCCAGAACCAGGTAAGGATTTCTCAAAAGGAAAGGGACTAAAATTGATACCGTAACATAAGAAAAAAACAAGTATCAAATTAATGTATTTACCAGTGTTACTTTCAGTTCATGCCTGATAAATTTTGCAAACAGATGCACCAAACATTGCAATATTAGCCATGATGCTTTTGTCTATCAGCCTCTAATATAAATTTATTGTTTTACCAAATTTAGAAACCACCCTTTTTCTTCACAGAGCAGCTCTGGGCAGTGTAAATTGGACATACGCTGAATTGTTCTATAAAGCAGAGGTGACACTTGATCTCACTGAGGGCCGCATCAGGGTTGTGTTTCACCTCGGGGGCCAGGGTGGGCATGGCCAGCTTGATGTTACTCATGTTGGGGGCGTCTGTAACAACCCATGCGCTCTGCCAGTGAAAGCGGTCTCCTGAGCTCAGCCGTGACAGCCTCCTGCCACCTCTGCCAGTAAAAATGGAGGTCGCTGGTAGAAGGCAGGAGGAGGCCATCACGGCTGAAAACGGACCCTGGGAGGGTTGTGCATGGCCCTCCCGAGCTCCATTTTCACTAGCAGAGGCACCATGGGCGGGTCCTCTGCTGTTTCTAGGGCCCTGCGGGCCACATCTAAGCACCCTGCAGGCCAGATTTGGCCCCCAGACCTTGAGTTTGATACCCCTGCGATAAAGTACCTTCAACAGAAGCTGATCAGAATGCATGACATGGCTTACCCATTTGTTTTTTCTGGTCCTGCAAGAAAGGCCCAGTGTGCTAGGACTCCTAGGGACCCAGAGAGGATGTCTCCTTGTCCCCCACACCTCCTGCTGCTTCCTTCATGGCTACATACAAGCACTGTAACACAAAAAAATGAAAAGAAAATACTCAATCCTTACCGAACAGAGCTGTGGGAGAACTGAAAAAAATGTAGATGTGAAATGTAGCAGGCATTATATTCTTTACTTACAAAGTTCATTTTGAAAGTATGACCAGAGCTGAATTTAACTAAATCATTAAAAGAAACTGGTATTTTATAAGATTAATATTTAAACACTGTTATATTTTTATTTTTGCATTATTGCATTAACCTCAACGGTTTAAGACAAGAACCTCTCTAGCGACAACAATTTTTATTTAATAATTTTGCTATAAATTTTCAAACAGCTCTGATGGCTAATGTATCTATATTTTAAAATCATAAAATATGGTGCTAATGTTTGAATGGTGATATTTTTACATAGCACAGTAGTCAAGTTTTGACCAATGACTAGCAAAAAAATGCTAGTATTCCCTTCTTTATTTTTGATATATTACATGCATGCACCTTCATTTTGTTTTCATTTCCCATAGCATCTACCCATATAGAAAAATAATGTTTACATTTAGAAAAAAAATTTGATCTGGGTTTCATATACCTTTTTCTCCATCTGAAATGAGGTCTCGTTCGCCTTTCTGGACAATTGTCAAATTCCCCAAGGCTTGGCTGAGCCTTAACAGACAGCCATGATAATCATTGTTATCTACAGGATCTCTAAGCTAGAGAAGAGCAAAGGGGGAAATCATACAGGATTAATTGCAGTAAGTAATAAGGAAAATGGTTAACATTCATTCATACTATTTTTAAATTTTTCTGTTATGAAATGTTAGCTACCTGCTCAACTGCAGTCTCCATCAGCCATACAAGAGATGTTGCCATATTTGTAACAAGTCTTACTATGTCTCATTTGATTTGGTCACAAGCAATTTGCACTTATTTGTGCAAAAATGGAGATATATAAAAGTACAAAAAATCCACTTAACGCAAGTCCCAGAACTTAGAAGGATTTGTTTTGGAAGATATTAACTCATGTAATCTTAAAATAAACACTATAATGAAGTGTAATGATACAAACAATGATTTCAAAACATAAAGTCATTCTCTCAAACAAGAGTTGCATTTGACCTTGATGAGATAATGCTATTCATCATGTAGAAAAGTATGAAGAAGTACTAGAAGATTGACCAAATTACTTGAAGATGGATGGTAACTTAGTTTTTTTATTTTTTTTCTACTGCACAGAATGAGGTAGGTGCGTGGAGGCATCTTGTCTCAATTCTTCTCGAACTCAAACTTAGCCTAGCCAGCTAGATTTGTGATCTATTGACTCTACAATTAGTTTTCCTTTACTGCCTCATTCAGTTACTGTTCAAAATCACAATGGTGCTGAAAAAACAACTTTACAACCAATGACCACATTTATGACTGAACAGCATTCCTCAGATTGTGATCATCATTATAATCAGCACACTATTGTCCTATGCTTGACCTCGTTTTTTGTTTTTTTTTCTCCTTGCAGAACTGAGATATTGGAGAGTAAATGATTACAAGAGGATAAGAAGGCACACAATAAGGCATATATAGGCTGTTTGCAAACTGTGCTCAGGGCTGCTTGTACCACTGCATTTCTTCCAATGTGTATTCTCAATTGTGTGCCTGCTTACTCTCTTTTAATTCCTTCTTTTTCAATAAATTTAAATATAAACACGAATTCCCTTCTTGCTAATTATCCAATGCCCAGATGAATGCTTCAAAGGGCAGGAGAATGGGAAAAGGAATGGGAAAAAGGAAAGCAGTCATGGACACGATTTCCCACTTAGTGTCAGCTTTACTTCACAAGAGATCTGCCCATCCCGATTATGGTCACTAAACAAGGACCATACATATGTAGGGGCTGTAGATATCTGTAAGTAAACAAATAACTACAAATGTAACTTCTATGGACTTTGTGAAAAGTTGCCTTTTCAACGTTCACAACATAGACCCCATACATAAGTTACATATGTTAAGGTGGGCAGCCTTATTAAATAAAGCAGCAATCTTGAGATTTAATGTACTGATAACTGCATTATTCTCTGCGTGTCATTATATTATAGTACTTGTCCCCTCACCTGGTTGACAGCCTAGAAATTTATACTTTTAAAAGCCTAAACTGGGCTAAAGTCACACAGCCTATTTGATTAATTATTGAAATTCTACATTAGTAATATTAAATGTAATTTGGATTTGGGGTACCTTCCCTTATGGAAATATAATTAAGAACTGTATGGACTCACCATTGCTTCATAGAGTCTGCTAAATTCCATAGCATTTGGGGTAAGAATAGCTCGAGGATAACCCTGAATGAGAGAAGGCTGTTGGGCAATGAGCCATAAACCATCCTGCATGGGACAATAAGAGGAAACGTTTAATGACAGGTACAAATTATTATTAAACAAATTAATAAAATTATCATACTTACAGCATCAATTACAATAGGAATTCCTTTGACCTTGGATTTTTCTATAATGCCCTATTTGAAAAAAAAAAATTCAAAACTTTAAATTAAATGTAACATTGAATGGAAAATGCAATTATTTTTCTCCTTTTGCAAAAAGTAATACATTTTAAATAAAAGGCAACTTCAACATTTTAAATGAAACAGAGTAAAACTCAAACCATTCCAAATAATAAAACACCTCTTCTAAAAAGCATACCATATGCTATATATCACGTTTATTACTCTTGCCATTTTTCTCTTTCTCTTCCATAATATTTTCACCAAAAATATATTCACATATATTTTTCACACTTCCATTTAGTGAATCTATTGAAGACTTCTCACACATTTAAAAGCACATATTAAAAATGCATGCAAAGCTAATACAAATAGCTTTTTAAGATAAAAGCAAACTGTAAATATTTAACTATAATAATCTCATTCATTAGAAGAGAATACATATGTGATTCATTACCCAAGTATCATCATTAGTGTTGGGACTTTATATACAGGAGAATTCCCTGCCAATTTTTTTAAAAGAGTTTTTTTATTTTTCTTAACTACAAACAGCATTGCATGAACAATGTGATGCCTAGGTGTCTTACATTTTAAAACAAATATGACAGTATTTCCATATTTAATACATTTAACAATATTATAAAATTTAACCTCAATATACAGTTTTTCTCTTTAATTATTCACTATTTTAATGAGTTATTTTGTATCAATCTCCATATTCTAAATATCTCTTTTTACTACCAATAATATATTTTGGTGAGGGTGTTATTTTTTCTTGGTAGTTCCTTGATTAGAGTATTGTTTGCTGCTTGATCACTTGCCTGGTGTTAATCCATGATTGCCTAGATGTTGGCTGCTGAAGGGGATGTGTTCTGGTCTTGTTTCCTTCTTAGTTTTATTATCTCTTGAATATGTGTAAATAGGATGCTTACTGGTGATCATGGATACGCTCTGCTACTCTTCTGCCTGCCTGTCTTACTTAGTAACTATTACGAGTTCTTGCACTGAAGAAAGTGGCTTTATTGGGAATTGTTGAATAAGAACTTTTTTTACTTTATTTTATTTGGTTTGTCAATTGCTTACAAGATAATAGGTATAAGTAAAAACATAGTTATGAATACATGAATACATATAAGAAAAATAGAAGAAACAATAGGACACGGACGGTAGGCATGTTGGTGCGCTTATGCATGCCCTTATAGACCTCTTAGGAAAGGAGTGAGGTCAATAGTAGAAAGTCTAAGATTGAAGTTTTTGGGGTTTGGGGAAGAAACCACAGAGTCAGGTAGAGTATTCCAGACACTGAGCACTCTCTGTTGCTGAATTCGTATTTCCTGCAATCAAGTTTGGTGCAATTAACCTTGAGTTTGTATCTGTTTGCTCTTGTATTGTTATGGTTGAAGCTAAAGTATTCATTGACAGGTAGGACATTGCAATGTATGATTTTATATACTATACTTAGATCGGACCGAAGGCGGAGTAGTTCTAGGTTTTTTAGGTCTAGAATTTCAAGTCTGGTGGCATAAGGTATTCTGCAACGAGCAGAGGAGTGGAGAACTCTTCTTGTGAAATATTTCTGGACTTTCTCAACTGTGTTAATATCAGATACGTAAAGTAGGTTCCAGACTGATGAGCTGTATTCGACTATTAGTCTAGCAAATGTTTTGTATGCTCTAGTTAGTAATGTAATATTACCAGAGAAAAAGCTACGTAAGATTAGGTTAACAACTCTTAATGCCTTTTTGGCTATGTAGTTACAGTGGGCTCTAGCACTTAGATCATTAGAGATGAGTACTCCAAGATCCTTGACAGAGTTTTTTTTCTTCAAAAAAAAAAAGGGTCCTTTTTTTCTTCAAAAGGCAGCTGGGCTGTTTTTTCCTTGAGGAAGAAGCTTTTCATCTAAGAAACGTCATCAGTTCTGATCGCAGGGGAGGAGGGAATGGAAGTATAGTATTTCTTTGCAACCACCTGGTTGTTAACACTCTCTTAGAACTGTTGAGACCACTTGGGGGGTTATGTAGACTTTATTGTCTTAAAAGAGTGACCTAAGAGTGACCTAAGTCCTTAGTAAAACATATAACATGGGAATTTTTTCTCCTTTCAAGAAAAGCTCAGGAGGACTCTCTACCAACACAACATACATGCACACTTTAAACCCAAGAATACACTAAGGCACAAGCGTGTATGTCCCGAGGATCAAACATCCCAATACAAACTGAGTAATGTGCTATAGGCAATACAGTGCAGTGAGACGCATGCAGACTTGTACATTGGTGAAACAAAACAGCCACTTCACAAGCACATGGCACAACATAGGAAATTAAAGCCATCATGACAAGATTCAGGGATCCAACTGCATTTGAAAGACAACGATGTCTGAAGACAGCAAACTCCACATTTTGGATAGAGACCATTAGTTTGAAAGAGGGGTAAAAGAAGCCATCTATGTTAGAACTGAATATCCCTCCCTCAACAGAGGAGGAGGAATAAGATACCACCTATCTCCAATATACGACACAGCCCTTGCGCCACTTCCAAGAAGATTCCACAACCCATTGTACCTAGATTCAGGTAACCCTGAGGGCATAGATAATTCCCCAAGGAGCCTCGATAGCTTTTGGAGAGAGCTAAAGATCAGATGACGGCAAAGAAATACAATTCTATCTCCCCCCCACCCCCCACATCCTATCAGAACCTATTCTTCCATCCAATCTCAACTGTCAATACTTATCCTTCCATCACCCCCACCCCCACCCTGTCATCAGAACTGATGAAGCTTCTTGGCTGAGAAGTAAAATGTTTTTTTTCTTTTTCTTCAAAGAAAAAACAATCCAGTTGCCTTTTAAAGAAAAAAGAACCTTTGAGTTCTTCTACAACAATACCCAATAAAGCCACTTTCCACATGTTGCAATTCTTGTAGTACCATGATATAGACATTCACAATATTAAGCAACAAGTGTTACTAAGTTTATTAAATGTACCCCTATGGGGAGGCAACCTTTATTTTGGCATTCATTCTTTCCCAACAAAAGTCAGTGCAACAAGAAAAATACATTCGAAATAAATACTTAACACCATACCTTGCACATGGGTATATAGGCTGAGGAAATATAAATGTCATGTATATTTTATAGAAACCATTAATTATGAATGCCAGAAATTAGCCAATGCCTGAGTTTCAATCATCTGTAGCAACTTTTTGAACTTGCTTGCAGAAGCCACAAATAAACAGGATTTTTTTAACAATTTCTATTTCAATTATTCTGCTTTTATAACTTACAAGCCATGCAACATTGGTTAAATTTCTGAAATAGCATAAAATATTTGAAATAAATAATAATAAAGCTGACACTCTTTTTAAAAAATAATAATAACATCTAGGCAATGTACCAGTAACACTTTAAGAAATCCAGGTTACCTTGGCATGTTCAAGTAATAAATCATCTCTTCCCAAACCTGGCCCAATGACAACTGAGTGAAGTCGTGGCAACCAACTTTCTACCTCACGCACAGCATCAGGGCTGTCACTAAAAAGAAACAGCAAACAAATAAAAAAAAACAATCTTCTAGTTTACCACTATACCATTTTCCTTTCTATGCATCTACTAGGAACATTATAGAAATGTTCCTTAAAACATAGATCATCACATTCATATCATTAAAAATGTTAACATCCAGTACTTTTGAAAAAGAAATGCAGTATCAATTTACTCCTATGGAAGAAGCATGATGCATTGCAACAGAACAAGAGAGCTGGGGGTAGGTATCTCATAAGAGCCGCTCCCAATATTACACTTGTAAAGAACTATATTCTGGTTAACAGTTTTGACTTTTGCATGAAAACTGAACCCTTCACAGTACGTTTCACAATTTAAAGTGCTGGTTATTACCTATCATGTCCTTCACAACAAGGAACTGGTTATCTGAGTGACAATCTGTCTTTCTTAGTTTTTACGCATTCCATACAATTAACCTCCTAGCTCATATAATATTTACAATGTAAGGCACATGCATTTAGCTATACAAGAATTTCTGAAAATTTGTTAAAGCACTACATTTTGCTTTAACAGAAAGTGTGTGTGTGTGTGTGTGCGTGTGTATGTATGTGCCTGACTTACAGTTTGAACTCAGCCTGAACAAAAATCCAAGTAGTGCTGGGCTTGTATATTGTGTATCACTGTCTGTGGGAGAAAAGAGTTACCCTGTTTTGGGTACCATTTTGCAGGGTTTAATACAGAGTTTCTCTAAGACGTGTGGATCAACTTCTATAATTCCCCAACCAACCAGTGCAACTGGGAAATTCTGGGAGTTGGTCTATACATTTTAAAATTGTCAAGTTTGAGAACACTGTTTTAAGTGACTTCAAAGAGCAACCTCTAGTTTTTGAAGCAATTAAACAGCTACACGCCTTTAAGAAACTATGTGAAAGGGGAGAAAAAGATATCTCAATAAAATTTTCTGAAATGATCCTAGTTTCAGCAAGATAAAACTTACTTGTTGTTAAAAATGAAGAAATGCATGTGACACTTAAATAATTTTGAATATTACTCTGTTAATTCTAGGCATACTGATTTCATCTCACCAACCTAAAGCTCTTTAGACAAGATGCTGGTATGATGATACGAACATGTCACTAAAAATTATGAGTTGGAATTAACTTTTTTCAGTTAAGACCCTGAGTTATATAGCAGCTGGCTAAGTATGTACTTTTTTTCATATCCAAGGAAGGACAGAATACTTACAGAACTGGATGAACTATAAGCTCTGGACTGTAAGATTTTATTACAGTTGCTGCATCTTTGGTACAAAATACATGGGATAGGTCTGCCCCCTAAAAGAATGAACACATTTGCGATCATTAATAACATTTAACATTTCTCAAAATTACATTTTTTATCTCTTGATTTCATGCTGAAATTCAATATTCTCAGGTTTCTCTTTCCTTTCTATTCCCCAATCTTAAATAAAAGAAGTAAATCTCACTAATTTTAATTAAAAAAAAACCTTTTCTGGATTAGAAATAAACATATTTTCTATATTTAAAAGCCAATACTTCAAACTCCCTTACTTTATTAATAATAAAAGAATATAAACAAGGGCAGTTTCGCCCTATGAAGTTTGCAATGCAGCCAATTAAAAAAATGAAATACACCCCCTGAACTAACTTGTTATAAATAAGGTGGTCCTCAAATTATGAGCACAATTGAGCCCAAAATTTGTATTGTTAATTTTGCCCCATTTTATAACTTCTCTTGCTACAGTTAAGTGAATTACTGCAGTTGTTAAATTAGTAACACATTGTTAAATAAATCTGGCTTCCCCATTGACTTTGCTTGTCAGAAGGTTGGAAAAGTTGATCACGTAGCCCCAGAAAACCACTAATGTCATGTCAGTTCCCAAGCATTTGAATTTTTATCATGTGACAATGGACTGCTGCAATAGTTATAATTGTGAGAAAAACAGTCATAGGTCACTTTTTTCAATGCCATTGTAACTTTTGAATGGTCACTAAATGAACAGTTGTAAGTCAAGCATTCAATTATGGACCAACTTAATGGTCCAATTATATGACTGTTCTGATTTAATTGATAACTAAACCCAATACTTATCCCCTTCCTGTGCATGGAGTTTTATATAAATGTCAGAAGCTTTCTTCTTCTTCTTGACATAGTGCCCCAGGACCACTTGCCAAATTTCTTAAGTAACAAGTGGACCAGAACATCACAAAGAATTCAAATTTGGAACACAACAGGTTAGAATATCCAGTCCACCTTGAATAAATTAAATTCCCCAATCCATCAAGAAATTCAAGCTTCATTCATGATTAATTAGCAGCTTTAGTAACTACTATTTCCAAAATTTCCCATACCATTGTACACACTACGTAACCAACATCTACATCTGATGATCCAAATGGATATAAAAATTTATAGATGCAATGACCTACATAGTTACTATCAACACACTAAAATCTCAGTTTGCTGAATAAATTAAGACATTTAACCAATACAAAACTAACATTTTTGTCTATTATTGGGAACAGAGTTCAGCACATTTTTTTAAACAGTTGAAATGCGTGTTTAACTCTGTGGAATAAAGAACATTATCTTTCACTGTCCTCCACGCAAAGGTAAGAAGAAACATACCACTTTGAGAGCAGAAATTGCAGCAAAATATGGTGCCCCTGTATACCTGCATATGGAAAGAAAAAAAAACCCCAGGAAATATATATTTTGTTAAAAATTGTGACTGATGTACTTGTACCACAATGTGTTTATGTGATATATTAAAGTAGAAACATCACATCATTTTATCAATATAGTTTTACTGATATTTTCTTGACATAACACTTTTGTCAAATATAGTAAATCTAACACTGCATTGCCTTTTCACACAACTATTAACATTGTACAATAGTTATTCTAACTTCAATGAGTTATATTCACTTTGAACTTCAGATGTAGAATGTGACAAAAGCACCCTAAATGACTGATTATCATATACTTTTAGTGAATATACACACAAAATAGAAATTAATAAAAGTTCATTTACCATACAATTTTAAACTATTTTTAAGTAAATTTTAATATTTCATAATACTTTTCACTTGTTGGTGCTATCATTTCTGCGTTTTCTTCCTTAACAGTATTGCTTTTTATTAGATACTAATTTACATAATAAATTGTGGAATTGCAGTCAGATGATGACTCTTAAAGATCCAAACAGAAGCTTTCACTGATTTAATAGGCTAACATTGTATTAATTATAAATAGAATACACATTTATCGCTCTATTTTGTTTGTGTTCCAATATTTCTTTTAATGAACAGTGAAAATCATAACTTACAGACTAAAAACAGCCATTATCAAAACTATCACTCTAATTTTCTAATGATAAAATGAGTCATATTCCAACAGTGCAGAAATACGGCAGCGATCAGGCCAATGTATTTTTTCCTTTCTATCATTTTCTCCAGACCAAAATGCAACATTCCATTAAAGCAGTAACCTTTCTAGTTAGAATCAAGCTACATTTGCAACATATTTATTTAATTTATTATAATTTATTAATTTATTATATTATATTCGCCCATGGTGACTCGAGGTGGCTTACACAATGTAAAACCATATTTAAAATAAAAAATAAAAAATAACAAAAAGAATCAAATAAATTAATAAAGAATAATAGAACAAAATGGGGGGGAGGGAGGGAGAGAAACCAACTCCACCCCCTATCCCGATGACAGCAGATCACACGAGCCACTTGATGGGCTCCATCCCACTCTGGTTTCCCCAGGCCCGCTGGCAAAACCAGGTCTTCAGTGCCTTCCGAAAGAATGCTAGAGTGGGCGCCATTCTAATCTCTGGGGAATGATATTCCAGAGGGAGCCACCATGGAGAAGGCCGTTCTTCTGGGTCCTACCAGGTGTATCTCCCTCAGGGATGGGACCCGCAACATCCCCTGCCTCCCTGCTCTAGTGGGTCGGGTAGATGTGACTGGCAAGAGACCTTCTCTCAGATAACCCTGACAGTAATATCTACTGTATATTTGGAACACACGAAAGGTGCCTTTGATACACCTCTAAAGGCTAAAGCATGAATTTGCTATGATACCTTAATTGATGATTAACATCTTATCTATGCCCCCAGGTATGTATTAGCAATATCTATTGATTTATTTGAAGACAACTACTTCCATGCAAGAAAAAAAATTGAAAAATAATTACTTTTTTGTGGAAATGGCAAATAACTAAAAATGGTAAAATAATTGGTATGAAAGAGATACAAGTAAAAACAAAGATAAACATAATGTCTGAGATAGAATAGTACCAATACATATTTGTACATTTTTATTTAACTTACTCTTGGCATCCTCCAACAATTCCTATTCGTCCATCTTGGCCTTTATGTTTTTTGGCAGTTAAAGGTGGAATAACATTTCTCACCAATTGAAATATATTTTCCATTTCCTTTACAGAATGTGTTTTGTGAACTGAAAAAGATCTCTCTATAACTGGAAAAAAATAAGGACATTTAAATAAATATTACAAATATAAACTTTTAAGATAGTAGGTTATCTGTATTCATAGATCAGAATTTGTTTCTAAAGAAATTGCTGTGTTAAACGTATTTATGTTGTAAACATATTTTAACAACCCAAATTCCACATAATCTTATTCATAAACAGCAGTATACCATGTGTGTTTTTGTTTATCAGTCTGAATAAACCACACGTATTTCCCCCCACCCACCCCCAAATCACCAACCTTCTAACAGATATAAAAACATTTCTAGTTTGCAATCAATTATTTTAGTCTTCCACATCTAGGCATCAGTTTCCCAATTCCTTACTTAGGTATGTTCAGACATACTTGGAAGTACCACAAATCTCTTAAGAAAAGACCTATATTTTATCCTGAGATATTTCACTCACTATGAAACAGAAGTGTGCAAAATGTCTTGCACACTCTAAACATATTGATCTAAATATTTCATGTTGAACAATCAAGTTCCCGTTTGTTTTTTTCAACTTGTCTATTAATGATTTTTAAGATGTAGTATGAATATATTGGTAGGAAATGCTAACGAGAAAAAATGGAGATGTCTTAACTGTAACCTAAAAGTTCTCTTATAAGTAGCTCCAGGCAGCTGATTTTACATAAATCATTTTTTTAAGTCAAGTTTTACTTGTTGCATGCCAACTACCTGAAATAGTCCTGTCACTCCAGAGAACCCAGGCTAACCAGATGTACAGTATATACTGACTTCTATCTTATGCATGAGACTGCAAAGAGACAATGCTACAACTGACTAAAAATATATTGCTTAAGAATGAAAAAAATGCCAAGAGGTAGATGCTAATTCAATGGTTAAACTCACAAATCATGTTAACTTTCCTTGTATTGAATAAGTAATGATGGTGTGGTACACATGTGAATTAGTGAATCTTGAAGTGACCTGGGTTGAGAGAACAACTGGCCCAAAGTCATCCAACTGGCTTTCATGCCTAAGGCAGGACTAGAAGCCTAGTTTCTAGGCCAGTATCTTAATCACACTAGTATTATTTTTACATTGTACTTGTACAATGAAGCTTACTAACCAATCATAAGAGATTCTACAAGTTCAGAATGAAACTCTGAATCTTAATGGAGGCTTCACTAATATATATACATATATACATACATATATATATGTGTGTGTGTGTGTGTGTATGTGTGTGTGTGAGAGAGAAACCTCCATTAAGACTCAGAGTTTCATATATATATACATAGGACTGAACTGCAGAGTCCTCTAAGTTTGATTGTTTCCATACAGACATTTCAGTACCCAACTAGGTAGCATCATCAGTGCAAATGTGGGGTTTGTTCCCTGTTTACCCCATCAAAACTGGCAGGGCAAGTAACTGTATATAAATAGCAAGTAAAGCCCACATTGACTCACACTGATATTACCTAGTATCAAGGTACTGAAACATCTGCAAGCAAACAACCAAAATCGGAGAACAACAAAAACTCCACAATTAATGGAGGCTCAAAACTGATTTATATCAAATACATAGAGCTGGATTCAGTTGCAGTTACCTCTAGTCCTGAAGAACATCGGCACAGTGAGCTATGAGAGTTGTTTTAAAACCAGTTTTCAAATTCTGTTCCATAGCAGGTTGTGCACTGTCAAAAATCTTCTAGACCTCTATGGGTGGAAATATTAAGCATATCCTAACATGCACAATTTCCAAGGGTAACAACTAAATACAACAGGATTTGCAAGCATCCTTTTCACGTTTCCTCAGTTTAATCTCCAGCAAACCCTGTGAAGGTCCCACAGCGAATGCGCTGGTGGTGGTGGGGAAGAAATCCCTGACACTGCAGGCTACAAATTCCTTATTCCCCTTCCTTCATTCACTGCATTACCGTGCAACTATGCAAAACCTACTGTGCATGAAAGCAGCTTTAGGGGCATCTTAACAGCTGTTTTATAATCTAAATTTAGTAACCAGGAAATGCTTTTACAGTTACCTACATAACTGTGCAATTCTTCCAGCACTAATTATCATGTATGGCTGGAAGATCATCAAATTTGCTAAGGCAAATTCTGAGAATCAGTGCTAATAGTTTATAAGAAACAATTAATGTAAAAGATTTTAATGCTTAATGAAGTCGCAAAGCCCTCAAATGAAGAATAGGATATTTGGGGGAGGCAGAACTGGGGAAGATTAGTGAAAGAAATGTAGTAAAAGGAAGTAGTGCTACTGGCTGTTATTGCCAGGCATTGCTGTTTAGCGACAAAAAACATTCTTCTCCCATCTAGTATTAGAAAGGGTTGATGAAACCCTTCTGTCTGCTATAAGCCATGTTTTTTTTTATAAGTTTTAAGCATTCTGTAATTACTTATACAGTATGCTTGTAGTTTTTAAGTTATTTTTAATTTTGATTCTAATGAAGATACGTTAAATTATTTTAAATAAATTCCATGCTTATAGAAACATTTTTATTATGATTCATTTTTTAAACAAACCTCAGAATACCAATCAATTCACTGATTTTTAGAAAGATGCACAACTATGTGCACAAAACTTAAATTAGTACTGTAGATCCATGTATCATGAACGCAAGAGAATGAAGTACCTATGGGTGGAGATAATGTTGCTGTCATAGAATTATAGTTAAAATTTTCTCCATACGATCGGTGATTTGATCTTTGTGAAGGATTACTTGGTATAAACTGGGACCTTTGTGATACTGTGGAAGAGATTCCTGCTAACATCTGTCCCAACATCTGCAACATCTGGAGCTCCCTGGCATGTTCTGCTTCACGTCGTTTGTCTTCAATTTTAAGTCGTTGTTCTTCATATTTATAAAACTTCTCTTCAGTATCCATACTTTGTTGCAAAAACTTTTCCATCATTTTGTCCAGTGTTAAATTTGCATGTCGCTTTTTTGATCTTTTAGCCTGAGATAATAATGGTGGTGCATTGGTGTGAGCATTAATTTGTTTAAAACCTAAAAATAAAAGCAAGCTAATTTTAATAAAGACTAGAAGTAATAGTGTCCCTAAAATTTCATATTCATCTATGTACTATTCTAGTAAATATTCATTACAGTATAATACCTTGTGGACTATAGTCTACTCTAATGTATTCCTCATAGAAATTAACTGAGTGCAGTTCATAAAATATTACCCCTTTAATCCATCAGGCTTTCAGATTCTATAAGCATGTTCTGATTTTGAGGCAAAATCTCTAAAAAATGTATGTGCTTATTTTAATCACAATGCAGGTGGTTTACAACACAACTCTTCCACTGCAAATGATTATCATCAGCTTATTTCCTGCTTTTACAAATATATTACAAGGAATGTAACTATACACTTTGTCTTGGATATAACTTCTGTGTAAAAAAATTGCGTGAACTATTAGACTTAAGCATGTCACTTTATGAACCGAGAATTAGGTAAAATAAAAAACACAGGGTAAAACACCACTGTTGCTTTCTATGAATAATTTTCTAAAAATATTTGCAGAAAATAGCATTAATAAATATATAATACTGTTCCTTTTACACAGACTTTGTGTAAAAGGCCTATCAAAAATTAGCCTGAGGGGTAAATGGTTATTAAAACTGAAGATAAAGAGCATGCTTTTATATTGTGGATTTTCCATCTTTCAATAAAATAAATGGACCAAAAGTTCACTGAGATCCCAAGACATGTCAGATTTCTTCATGGATAAATGAATATGAAGTGTATTGTTTAGAGAATTCAAGACAGATATTTCCAAGGTGTTACATCATTTTTTTGACTCCCTGCTGTTGCTGGGTAACATTTAAATATGCAGTTGGCATATACAGGACAAGGATTCTTTCTGGTTAAGTTAAATGAAGCACTTATATGGTTAATTGGGATTCATTTAAAATAAAGTGCAGTTATTATAACAAATGAAATTTACTAACATTTACTAATGTTAACCAGCCTCTGTATGTAGGAGGGTAATTAAAATATTTTCAATGAAAAAAAAGGGAGGATTATCTGAATGATTCACGCTCTAAGTTGTGTGATTAGGTAAGGCTCTTATCTTCTTTTAGACCAGATTTCTTCAACATATTGCACCATATATACTACCTCTTCTCAATGTGATGGAGGGGATAGAAATCCGACTCATTTGGGACAGCTTGGAAATGCTAATTTAATCAAGAACTTGAGAGAAAGGTGACAGCTGTACTGAGCCTTTTTCTTAACATCTCTGATAGACAAAGGTAGGATTGAGAACATACCAGAGAAAATGTGTTTATGGCATGCAATCTTTGGCATGTTCACTTTTAAGCCAACCTCACAGAGCACAACAGAGCTTTCTCTAATCCATGCCAATTTTTAAGATTTGTGGATTTTAACTCTCAGAATTCCCAGCCAGCATTAACTCTACCGTTTGAAAGTTGCAAGGTTTGATTAACACTGCTCTAAATGGAAATCCACCATGACCTGTATATGCCCATCTACTGTGTATATATAAGCTGTACATACACATACCATTTATACATGTTTCTGGGCAAGCAGCAAAAGATTGCAGCCTCAGTCTCCAGGTTGCAAACACAAGAGTGAGGTGCAAGACCTTAACTAAGGTAGGAGAAGCATCTCACCTACAACCAACCAGGCCCCGCTGTAAATATAAATGTACCAGTCAAAGATAGATCCTTCTCCCTCCCTCTCCCCTCCTTTTTAGTTAGCATAGTAACTCACTTTCAGCAGGTGGGAGCGGGATGGCGAAGGGGGGACATTCCACTTTGATGGCGTGGTCGGCGTAAGAAGAGCACTCGCCCGAATCGTCCTGGAAGTTGTCCGGCGGGGAAGACTCCAGCTCGCCACCATCCTCGTCTTCCTCCTTATCGTCATCGTCGTCGTCGTCGTCCTGCTCCTCCGCGTCCGCCTGGCGGCTGTTCCGGAGGCCGCTCTGTCTGGCGGAAGGGGGCGCGGCGAGCACCATGGCGGGCTGGTGGTGGCTTTCGTCTCCGGCCGCCGCCGCCGCCACCATCATCTCCGCGGGAGTCAGGGGCCGCTCGGCCACTCCGTGCCCATCGAGGCCGTGCCCGCCTTGCCTGCAGCTGAGAATGCGGTGCATCTCTTCGTAGTATTTGCAGATCTTGCGGGCGTGCCCGTTCTTCTTGAGTCCCTCGCGGGCCTGGTAGTACTGGCGCTTGAGGCCCTTGATGCGGATGCGGCACTGCTCCGGGGTGCGTTCAAAGCCCAGCTCGGCCAGGCGGCAGGCCACGTCCCGGTACACATGGCTGTTGCGAAAGTTGCCGTCCAGCGCGCTCTGCACGTCCGCCTCCCCCCAGATCTCCAGCAGCGCCCGCGTCTCCAGGTCCGACCAAAGAAAGCCCCGCGTGTTGGTGATCATCCTCCTGCCAGCCCAGCCGGGGGCCGCAATGGCCGCGCCCGCCCGGGCAGGGAGGCGAGGAGCGCGGCCGGCCGGCAGAGGAACGGGCGGGGGAGTGGGAGGGGGCGGCGGGGACCGCGAGCGAGAGGGGGGAATCAACGCCCACCGCGCCGCCCGGCCACTCCACCCTCTGCGCGCCTTGCCGGCGGCGGCGGCAGAGACCCCGGCGTTGCGCCGGGCCCCCTCCTCATCCCTCCGCGGCCGCCCCCGCCCCCGCCCGTTCGGCCCCGAGCAGAACTTTCCCCACGCCGCCGGGCTGCAGCCGGACCCCGCCGTCGCGGCTTCGGTTGGAGGCGGCTGGCGCAGGCCTGGCCTTTCAGCCGCCGATGCGGTGGCCGCTCCCTCGCCTCGGGCTGCGGGAGCTCGGGAGCAGCGGCGGTGGCGGCACTTGGAGGGCCGATTGGCGGTTCATCGCCTCACTTGCCCGGCGGTTTCGGGGATGGCCCGGCGACGGTGGCGGTATGAGCTCGGCGCCGAGGAGAAGCTCTGAGCCGGCCTCTTCCTCCTCCTCTTCCTTCCCCGCTCCGGAGGGCCCCAGCCAGCCCGGCGTCACCGCGCATTGCACTCGGTCCCCCTCCCCTCCGTGCGCGCACACCAGTCAATCAGTCACCAAGTTCACGCACAAAGCGGCGGAGACTCGGGGCTTCACAACTTCAACCGCGGAGAGGGAGGGGGCGAAGACAATGCGCCTCGCGCGAGACCTCGCCCCTCTCCACTCCTCCATCCCCCCAAACAGGGCGGCTCCTCGGGGTCCGGTCCCGACCGACGAATCTAAAGCCTACGGCGGTAAGGGAGAATATGGAATTTCAGACCTCTCCGATCCACTAAGAAGCCCGCAGCACTCCATAAAGCAGACTTCCCTTCTGCAAATAAAAGAGGCGTGCATGTGCGGCTTCAGAATAAAAGGAAACAATACAGATACTAACGTGCCTCAAACAAGGTCGAACCGCTCCAAAAGAAAACACACGCCATTTAGATAGATTATAGTTTTCCTAATAAAAGCGGGTTTTCAACCAAAGTCCAAATGATCACGTTATCTTTGCAGCCCTTTTTTCATCGGGACCCACCACGGAAATACTGTTTCCTTGGAAAAATACTGGATAGAATTGCTTAAGCCGCAGTTCAGTGAACAAATCTCCACTGAAGTCATGCGTACATGCCAAATCCTAAATTGTGTTTCACAAAGCGCGTTGGCTGAGACCGCAGAATACATCACAAGCAAACGCAAACAATACACGCGCTTTTGGTTCCCCGTGTTATGCAAACCGAGCGATTGATCTCAGGCGAATTTGCCACGCTTCCGCCGAAAGCAGTTCGAGAAGAGGGTGCACCTGGCTTCTCTAACCATTGAACGCTTCTACTCGCGCACAAATGACTGGGCGCTAGAAATGAGCTGAAACGTCTAAAATGCGGGGCTGTCTCTTGAAAAGCCAAGTCACGATCTGAGAACTGGCATATGGCACAAGGTTCAATGCAACACACACAAAAAACACAAAATCACCCCTGAAGTAAGACCAAGGTAAATTTAACCCCATTGCTACTGAGTGGCCCTTTCGCGATCTCGAAACAAATCGGTCGGTTTTACTTTGTAGCTTCAAGTTTTCATTTTGAGCGTGACTAAGGCCAAGAACTTTTGTTGTTATTGTTGTTGTTGTAAAAACATCACCGTGATTTTGCAGAGAAAAAACGATGGTGGGGTGGCCTTCATCCTTCAATGGGAACATTTACTTTTTTTTTTTTTTAACTCTGTCCTTAAACGTGCCCAAATGAACCCACTTCTCACCGAATACTCTGCTGTCACACTCCATACACGGTCTACATACTGCTGAGTAATCATCACTGAACTCAGTGGCGCTTACTTCTGAGTAAACACGAGGTTTCAAAGCAAGTTTCCTTCTCACGCCCCCGTCTCCCCCCCCCATTCTTTTAAGGGTGTTCTATAAAGCAAGAGAGACGAGGTGTAGATAGTTCGAAAATGCAAGCTGTCCAGACAACCTCATACTATACGACTCCAGGTGACTAAATGGAAACAGACAGTGTTTCTGGCGTGCTATGCACTCCTTGCTTTGCAGCAGCCGACGCGTAAAAGGTACGCGTTACGCACGTGAGATAAACACTCCAAAGACGCTTCATACCTTTGCCATATTGCAGCCAGAATATAATCAGTGCCGAGGCCAATGCTACGGTTACGTAAGCGCCCCTTCCCCAAATCATTCCCGCGGAGAAAAGCGCCAACTGGGTCCTCCTCGGCTATCCCGCGCCCCCGCCAGTTTGCTGCCTCTGCGCTCCGATCCTTCTTACCTCGCCACCAAGCGGGGCTCGCAGCACCACCTGCCAACCACAGGAGCGAGCGGCTGACACAAACCATCGGCGCTCCCTTCCGGGTGGAAAGCCCAGCCGCGGTAATGGGAACGCACAGGCTCTTCCCGCCCTCTCCTTCCGCAAGAGCGCCGCACACGGAAAAGCCAATCGTAGGCCCGTTCTTTCATTGATTGACATCCTCAGAAAGTTGAGGGGTAAAGCAACGCGACTATAGGTGCAGGGTTGTTGTTGTTGTTGTTGTTGTTGTTATTGTTTTGTTGTTGTATCCGAGCCAAGCTGTTTATTTTAAAAAGATATGGTGTTAAAACATAAAAAGGAGTGAGTTGATTCAGATGTAAGTTAACTTGAACAATGAATGCTCTGCCCCTCCTCTTTTCTTTTTAAAGGGAAAAGATCCAAAATGGATCACCTATTCTCCAAACGCTTAAATACTTTTTTTAAAAAAAATATTTTTTTATTCACAAAGAATCCAGCTTTTTTATGCTCACTAATGCTAACTCCATTTCTTTGCTCTAGATTTTAAGGGCAAGTTATTTTCAATTAATTTTGCTTCCAATTCCAATCTTTTTGTGAAGCAAAATTACCTCCAGTACTGGAATAACTGGTTTATAATGAGACTATAACTATTTCAGCTTAATAGTTATTTTAATCATGTGACTGTCCTATATTGTAATTAAGTTGCTAGGTTGATTTCTTAATCTCTCTCTCTCTCTCCCCCCCTCCCTCCCTCTCTAATATTCTTAGAGTCTTCTGCAACCCTAACATTCAAAACTGTAAAATCTCTTTCTATCCTGTTCATTCAAAATTCAATTTTCATTTCCACAGACTGTCATAGGGAAAATTATTGCTTGCATGATTCTAATCTTTATAGGTGTAGCACCTGAGCATCCCAGCACATGAGTATATTTTCTAGGCCTTCATTGCTATTTAACAGATGCTTGTTTATGGTGTATTTCTTGATTTCTTTGCTGTTGATAATCAGCATAAAATGCAAAAGCTGTGGGCCACTTTAATGTCATAATATGGCAAGGAAGAATCTTCAAAGAACAGATAAGGAATGGCTGGAAGTTATTGTTTTAGGTTACTTTGTAAGAGCATGCAAAAATGATAACCGATTAGTCCAAGATAATAAAAATATGGTATGAAATATTATATATATTTACATATATATATATGGTGAAAGGGAGATGAGCACTGCTCCCTATAGTTGGCAACAACTAGCAGAGTAAAATCCACAAGGACTCTTTTAACATTATATATAAATATACATGAATGTATGCATGTATGTAGGTATGTATAGGTAGAGGTTGAAAACATGCAGAAGAGGCCTTCATCCTGCAGTTGATATACACATACATACATATGGTACTCAGTTTTGTTCGGGTATTTTCCCACGTCATTATAGTTGTGCTTTAAAAGTTGTAGCAACATTTTGGCAGAATCTCATCTGCCATCATCAGGCTTCTGTATTGTGTTCGTCTGTGAGTCAGACTTTTACAATTGTTTCAGTTTTAAATTTGGGGCTAGCCTACTGCTGTGCCAGAATGGTTTTTTCTTCATCCTGATTGGTTTGGAGTCTTGGTCTGTGTTTATTGGTCTTGGAGTTTGCTGTGTTCTGCTTGATTGGTGTTTCTAATATCTTCTGTCTGTTTTGGGGCTTTTTTGTGTCTTGATTGGCTGGCAACATTGTGTTCCTGTATTGGAGGCTTTTAGTGCAGCTTGACTCCGAGTAAATGGACGGCTATCATTTGTTAGGAAGCTAGGTTTCATCTGGGTGCCTGGTTGGGGTGTGTTTGAGCTGGGGGTATCAGGGGGGATTTGTTTGTGTCCAGGTGTTTGCCTGGCTTGTGGTGCGTGCGAGCAAAGCGCACGAAGCCGAAAGCACCAGCCTGAAGATGGCAAGTGGAAACTTGTCGAAATGTCACCAAGATACTCTCAATCTTACACAGGAAAAGACCCGAACATGCCAAGACCTACACGTGTGTATGTGTGTGTGTGTTAAGTTTTCGCGGGTGTTTATATGAATGGTATTCAGCTTTGTTCGGGTATTTTCCCACGTCATTATAGTTTAAAAGCACAACTATAATGACGTGGGAAAATACCCGAACAAAGCTGAATACCATGTGTGTGTGTGTGTGTGTGTGTGTGTGTGTGTATGGCATTTAGCTTTGTTCGGGTATTTTCCCACGTCATTGTAGTTGTGCTTTTAAA